GGACACGGCAGCACCGGAATTTTGGTGTTCGTGTGTCGGCTGAGCAAGATGGTCCATCTTGCTCCAGTTCCCGTCACTGTAACGGGCGAACAAACCGCAAGGTTGTTCGTCGATGGCGTGTTCCGCTATCACGGTCTCCGGAGACGATTGTCTCGGACCGAGACCCGCGGTTCACTGCCGCGTTTTGGAAAACGCTGTTCCCTTTACTGGGAACTCGTCTGCAGATGTCCACTGCGGACCATCCGCAGACCGACGGCCAGACAGAGCGCGTCAATCGAGTGCTCGAGGACACTCTGCGCAGTGTGTGCGCGCAGCACCACGTACGTGGTCGACGCAGCTTGCAGTGGTTGAGTTTGCGCTCAACAACGCGGTGCACGCGTCCACGGGGTTCACGTCGTTCTACTTGAACGGCTTCCGCCACCCCAGAGTGCCTCTCACTCTTCGAGGAGACACTGACTCCTCTATTCTAAGTGGGGGAGAGGCTCGGAAAGCCCTTTCCTCCCAGGTCTCTGATGTGAGGCCAGTTTCGCTGCGGAAACAGGTGGAATTCTTTATGGATACCAAGCTGAACATTGTCAGCAGGGTCCGCGATGCCATGGCAGCGGCCCAAGACAAACAAAAAAAGTACTCGGACAAACAAGGAAGAGGAAACTTAAGTATATTTGAGGTTGGTGACTTAGTGTTGCTAGACACGAGGAACCTACCTCTAGACACTGTTAGTTCTGTCGGCAGCAACAAACTGAAGCATCGCTTCATCGGACCTTTTGCAGTCCTGGCCAGACATGGTGCGTCGTACACCATCGACCTTCCAAAGTCAATTACGACGCACCCGACGTTCTATGTCGGACGTCTTAAGCGGTACTTTGACCCGCAGGGGGTTGCTGACTCGCAGATCCCCCTTGACCCAGCTCCTCGAAGCGAGGGCCGGTCACAGTCGTCGACGAGGGCGTCGGAGCAGGCACCCAAGTCTCGGTCGAGACGGCAAGGCTGCGGTCAAGACCGTACGCCGGAGGGGCTCCGTACGAACGGACCCCGGCGCCCTACGCCGAGTACGCTGAGTACGCCGGGTACGCACCATACGCGTACGTCTGGGAGTGTGCCGCAGGCGGCTCCGGACGTGGCAACAAAGCCTCGATCCGTCGGATCATGCGAAAGGCCTCGTCCAGATCGGACGAAGAGGCCCGGCGATCCACCAGCAGGTGCAGGCTCGCGACCTCTCGCTCCACCAGGTCCAGGCGGCCCGCAAGACGAGCGAGCTCGCCCCGATTCCCGGCCTGGGCGGCAGCATTACCGCCAGTCCCAAGGCCAAGTGCAATCTCAAGCACGAGGACACGTTGACGGAGGCGGTCAGCCTCAGGGTCCTGTGTCGGACCCGCAGTCGGAGCACTCGGACGAGAGTGGCTCTCGGGAGGCGCCGAGAACTGTACTCGTACGAGGGCACCTCCGCCCCTGCTTGACCGGAATAGAGAAGCCCACTTCCACGTGGAGCGGATCCTCCAGGAGCAACGGTGTCGCGGCAAGCGACAGCTCCTCGTGAAGTGGAGGGGTTATGCCCACTCCGAGAACTCGTGGGAGCCGATTGAACGGCTCCTGATTGACTGCCCGAAGGCTGTCGCAATCTGGGAACAGAAGCGGCGGCAGCTTCATAAGTAGTCCGGGGCTTCTTGCCCGAACGGGGTACGGTCGATGCATACATACCGTACCCGCGCTCAGCGTGAGCGCTAGAAGCCTCGCGCTTCAGGATGTCCCTTGGCAGCATACGCTTGCTGATCAAGTAAGCAAACCTCACACGAAGATCACGCTGGTCCAGGATGTGGGACAGTTGCTGATCTTCATGGAGTTCCCATAACTCCGTGGGCGAGTACTTGAGAGTCTCCACCCACGCCCAGAACATGTCCTCACAAGAACTTCACGTGGGACAGTTCTCGGGCATAACCCAGGGGTATCGCCACACAGGATAGATACCACCCCGCGTCTCGGGCTTCTTACGACAAGTCGTGAAGTCCTTAAGGGGAATGCGGTGTTGCGCGAGAAGCACACACCGAGCAGCCTCCAAGTTGTCGACGAACAACTGTTATTTCTGAACAAGAGCTCGTTCATAGATGCCCCTAGAAGTGTGGCCGCCCACAAGGCCACGAGGAGCGACGAGATGCTCTAAGAAGAGGTCAGCCCCAGAGCTCTCCTCGGGAGGCCAATACCCTCTTGAGTTGATGGCAGCTCCCTGGCTGACGGGTGCCGCCACCGAACCTTCACGCACACGCTGGGCAGCTTGGAAATCCTCCTGCTGCTGGTCGAGGTCATTCGAGACCTCCCGGGGCTCAACAATGGCATTCTCCTCTTCCTCTTCTTCCTCCTTCTCCTCCTCTTCATCCGAGGAGCCGAAGAGACTCTGATAGGAGCGTCGAGTCTCCTTCTCCTCGCGGAGTGGAGACTTAGAGGCGGTACGCTTCTTTGAGGGCTTGGCGCCTTCGGCTTTAGAGGCCTTAGCGCGCGCAAGACCCTCGGCAAGCGAGAGACGTTTGCGAGGATTCTCTTCCTCATCGCCACCGGCTTTGGGAGCGCCTTTAGCCTTAACGGCCGGACTCTCAGAGCGCACAGAGGTCCTAGGACTGTGATCACCGTGATCACTAGCGGGCGACTGCACGCTGCCTTCTTTGTGCTCACTGGGCACTGGGCTGTGCCCTCCCACAGAGCCCGCAGGAGCATCATGAGTGCTCTCGGACTCGGCATCGTCTTCACTGCCCGATTTGAACTCGCGTTCTACGAACCGAGGGTTCGGACGGTTGTCTGAAGACGAGGGCGACGGACTGCGGCGCCTGCTTGCGCGCTTGTCCGCAGCCGCGTCACCCGAGGAACCGATCGCCTCGGAGGCCACCTGAGTAGCCTCCTTGAGTGCAGAGCCTTTGCCGTGAAGCTTAGTGCTCTTGGCCTGCGCCTTACCGGCTGCAGCCTTGGAGCGTGTCTTAGCACCGCTCTTAGCAGTACCGCGAGGCATGTTAACGGTAGAAGTGGAGACCTTGACGAAGAGCGCACAGGTTGCTGCTCGAGGCTCTAACTGTGAAGTGAGCCTTCGCCGCGCTCGCGCGGCCAAGTCGATGGTTTTCGACTTTGAGAATGAGAGTTTGTGACGAACACCTCTTCATTCGGATTGGTCGGTAAACCGAACCTAAGTGGGGGAGGATGTAACGGGGTACGTAGCCCTAAGGGTACCCTGGTTACATGAAGTGTGACACTTCACACTTCAGGAGTATGACACGTCATACTCCAAGATATTTGGTACAAGGTACCAAGGTCGTTCAAAGCCAACCATTGGTTAAATGACATTGCATTTCTATAGGTAACTAACAGTTTGTATTAAACCCAAACTTAATCTACCTATAAATATACTCAGTTTACAATCTACCTTATTTGGGTCACTTCGCTCTCTTTAATAAAAGAGGGGACCTGTGAACTGCCGTTCACTGAGAGTTTGTATACTCTCGGAAGATAACTTCCTCTTGCGCAAGGTGCTGTGTGACCCCGTCACATCAACAGACAATGCGTACCGCAAACGAATCAATGACGCCGCGATCCAGACTGCCAGCCGCGCATTTCCACCAGAGCGCAAAGTATATGCCGTGCCAGCACAATTGCTAGCGACACTGACGCCCGCAAAAATTGCAAAAATCACCGACTTGCCAGACAACCAAACAGGCAACATTCCCGTGTTCCTACTGACTTACATCGGTACGCAATTGCGCAATCTATCACATGGTTACGACAATAACACTAATAATGCGATTCAATGAGAGGCATGCCAGTGCGCGTAAAGTCGAACCAATGCACCCCGAAGGGCATCGTGAACGGAGCTAGCGCCAACCTGTTTCACATTGACTGGTGCCCAGGAACCACATTCGAGCAAAAGCAGGATAACGTATTTGTCGCATCGGAGCCTCCAACGAATTTATACGTCGACATTCACAACAACCCCACATTAACGCGATTCACACGTAACCCAATGCAATGGCCAGCGTCAGTGATGCCGATTGTCCAGTCGAAGGTCTCGTTCAAGCTAAACAAAGAGGCGATCTCCATCAAAGGTTTTCCGATTGTACCGGCATTTGGCATCACCGTGCATGGCGTGCAGGGCGACACGCGAGACGAAATAGTCGTCACCGACTTATGACCTCCGCACTGGCGCACAGTGGACCACCACGCACTGTACGTATCGCTGTCACGGGTTCGAACTCGCGCCGGTCTATATTGGATCGGTCAGACGACTCCGACTTTCAGTTTTTCAGGCCAAAAGCAGACGTACTCGAAGAAGATTGGCGACTTCACAAGCTCTCAGCACAAACGGCAACTCGAGCTACCGAATTGCCATTACTACGTTTGCATGTATGCATGAGCTATCAAAACAGAATTAAGTCCACATTAATGTTCAATTCCGACCACGTCACACCCACACGACACGAAATGCACGAAACATCGCCCAAACACCATCTCGATCCGAATGTCAAACATGTACAGAAACATGGAGTAGTCCACACTACATAAGCGCTCTAAAAAAAGCGCTAATTAAGGGCCGTTCAAAGCAACCTTCTCTTGTTTTGATTGTATCTTTTGATCTAGTAAAAAGTATAATATGGCCTTGGCATCAATCAAAAGCTGACACAATTGTATATTTCCCTGGTTATTGAATTGTTAGCTATGGTGCGTTCAGTAGGACAAATTAAAACAGTGCATAAAATGTGACGGCCATGCCAATTAAGGGCCGCTTGATTTCACTATGGGTTGCTAAATAATCTCTTATATGATACCTTAGTAGTGGCCAATGAAATTAGATAAGCCTGAAATTCCGAATTGCCTATTGGCTAACCGAATCCGGCCCTTAACTGGTCACCGGCCCCTAATTGGCATTTTACCTTACCTAAATTCTTGCCCATCGAATTAATGTGGTCCACACCATTTTCCGACGGCGTATCCGACGGCGTCAGCTTATTCGTTGCCCGACGGCGGCCATGCTTCACTTCCCGAGACAATTTTTCCTCATTTGCATTTGCTCCGTGTACGCGCTGGCCTTTGCGTCTATCAGAGCACAAGTTCGCGGTCTCTTCGGCGAGTACGTGAACACTGTATTCTCCGCAATCTCCTCCCCTGCTTGGATACATTTGCTCATGTGTCTTTCTCGCAGAAATGGTATCGAGCCCGTGGACGTCTATTTGCGCAGCATAAAGCTCCGCTATGCTTCAGAATCTTTCGACACATCGACTTTCGCTTGGATCGTCGACAAGTTTCCGACACTTGTGTGGCTGCACGAGCCACTACAATGGACGCCGAGCTTCTGCATGGAAGTGATCTGTCTGGCAGGAGTCACCACGGCGCTACTGGGCATGATACGGCCGGCATGGCGTACAGCAGGACCCCTGATATTAATGTGGATATGCTACTTGTCCGTCGTGAAGTGCGGTCAGACGTTCATGCAGTTCCAATGGGACTCATTCCTATTAGAAGTTGGGGTTCTAGCAATCTTGCTGGCCCCATGGTGCGTCGATACGACGAAATACACATTCGAGACACCAGCAGCCGCTGTGTGGACACTGCGTTTCCTATTCTTCAAGTTCATGCTCATGTCTGGCGCCGTGAAGATACAATCGCGCTGCCCGACATGGCTCGAACTCACTGCACTGGACTTCCACTTCGCGACTCAGCCTCTGCCTTTACCTCTCAGTTGGTATGCGCTACAAGCTCCCCCGCTTATTAACCGCCTCGCAGTGGCAGTCACGCTGCTGATTGAAGGCCCCTGGACATTCTTCTTGATCGCGCCTCACCCCACGCTACGGAGAATCGGAGCCATCCAGCAGACCGCGCTGCAGATTTCCATCCTTCTTACTGGAAACTACAACTTCTTCAACCTGTTGACCATTATCTTAGCTACAGTTCTTCTGGATGTCGACAACGGAGCAACTGGTTGCGAGAGTGATATAACGTTAAGTCAACGAGAGTCGTGGATAACTCGAGTAGAGTCGGCGTGGCATGCATTCCAGACACACCCACAGGTCTCAAATGCGATGCTGGCGTGTGCTCTCAGTTTCTGCGTCTATACGTGGCTAGAAGTGTTTGAACTGACAATTCAGGACGATAACCAGACGCATAGCTTTATGGAACTCCTGTTAGCTACGAGGATCCGACTTCTTCCAACAGTGGAAGATACTCAGGCATGGCTAGCACGGATTCTTCCTCGTTGCACACTATTTTCCACTGCGTTAGTGGCGTGTTCAAGCTCCTGGCAGGTCATGCGTTGCTTCTCACAGTCAGGACGCAACTCCACAGCCAAGAAGCGACTCGTGCTGCAGCTAATCTATCTCCTGACAACGACAGTGGCCAGCCTATGGGTGTTTACGAGCAGTGTGGTCACTCTTTCGGTATTAGATCAGTCGTTCCAGCAGTCATTGCCTTCGTTTGCTATCTTGGCGTACTATTCAACCGAAAAGTACCGTTTCACCAGCGCTTATGGCTTGTTCCGCACGATGACTGGTGTGGGTACAGTACAACTGGATAATGGGCATCAGGTTTCTGTTGTGGCCCGACCGGAGATCATTTTAGAGGGCACACAAGACGGCGGATTAACGTGGACACCTTATCACTTCAAGTACAAGCCTGGCGACATGAATACAGCCCCGCGGTTAATAGCGCCGTTCCATCCGCGACTGGACTGGCAGATGTGGTTTGCCGCTCTAAGCGACTATCACAGCGCTCCGTGGCTCGTACATCTCGTGGCCAAGCTCCTGGAAGGCTCTCGTGACGTGAAAGAACTGCTCGATACTACGCGTGACCCGTTTCCTGATGCCCCACCGGATGCCATTCGAGCACAGCTCTACTACTACGACTTTACGAGGCTTGATACGTTGTGGAATCAAGCGCTACCCACCACCAAGATCCTTGATAATAGCAATGATCCGCAGTGGTGGACAAGAACCTTTGCAAAGGAATACTTGCCAGCTCTGGAGCGCGGAAACCCCTCCCTCACTGCGTTCGTGGAGCATCACTGGCCGTCTATTGGCTCCAAACTTCTACCGAAGACTAGCGAGGTCTCAGCGCTGCATCACTGGAGTAACCAAGTGCTTAGATGGCTGTGCAGCGAGCCGTGGTCGCCCGTGGGTCTCGCGGCGAGTTATGTCCTGGCTCAGTCCGGTATTGCAGCCATGTTCCGCTGGATGCGGGCATTGACCAAGTTGAAGCTTCAGTGATCCGCCGGTGGATTGGTTGGAAATTCGTGGTGATTGTAGCCAATGGAAGGATAAAACCTCGGGCTTCAAAAGCCGCGTCAGGAGGGGCGACATCTAGAGATCTACAGCCAGTGCCGTTTCTTTGACCAAACTGAAGATCGCTAGCGTCTCGGAGCCTACACTATCTGTCAGATAATGTGAGGGCTGAGCCCCCCCCCCCAGGTCGACTAGGCCAAGTGTAAGAAACAAGGCATGCAGGAAGATGTTGACTCATCGAGGAGTTAAGTCGAACCCCACGCTCGCCACCGCTCGAGGCCACACTTGCCCACAGCCAACTTGCAATGGAACGAATGCTACCGACCTCCGACGGTTCATCCCTCCTCGAGGTCCACCCTATTATCCCCCAATCCGCAACCGATTCGTGACATAAAACCTCAGGCCCCAGCGACCAATCGCGGTGGCGGACGTGGAGACTCTTGGCTCGGCCTGGAGCTATTCGCGTGTCATTTCTGCGGAAGAATCGGAGACGAGAGGTGAGAATGGTGGACGTGTGATGGGATGTGTGAAGGGCGGTCAGGCAGCTTGCGTTGCTGGGCTTTTAGTGACCGGATCGCTGGCCGTGCTGCTACTTTTTTGGACAAGCGACTGACCGCGATACCTGCATATCTTTTGTTCTATATAGAGACGAGTATGGAGACGACGGGTGCTGACCAGCGTAAATGCCACAACTGCGGCCAGGGGGGCCACCTCCGCCGTGACTGCCCTGAAGCCCCGTCACAGGAGGGCGGCTTCGGCGGATACAACAGCGGCGCCGCTTGTTTTGGCTGTGGCAAGACCGGACACCTCAAGCGCGACTGCCCGACCAGTGCCGGCGGCCGCGCCTGCCACAACTGCGGCCAGGTAGGCCACATCCGTCGCGACTGCCCGGAAGAGGCGCAGCCGCCCAAGTGCCACAACTGCGGTGAGTCCGGCCACCTGCGTCGTGACTGCCCACAGGAGCTGCGCGAGTCGCGTAAGTGCCACCACTGTGGCCAGTCGGGCCACCTGCGTCGCGACTGCCCTGACGACAGCGGTCCGAGCGAGGACAAGTGCTATCAGTGCGGAGATACCGGCCACTGGGCCCGGAACTGCCCTGGCGCTAAGGAGTAAGCACATAGTCGCCGTGAAGGATCCAACTGCGAGAGAGGAGGGAAGGGAGCGAGCGAGAAAAGAGAGGGTATAGATGTGTGACGACGCGCGGAACTGCCTGCTTTGTACTAGTATTATCCCGATGAGATCTTCGGCCTATCGTGGTGGCGAGACACGTAGTGAAGGTGCGAGAGAGAGAAGGAGCCTCCTGCGCACGGGGTCGCGTCGTGGCTTCAACTAGTGAAGTCGCCGCGCGGGCCGCGGCAGTGCTCGGATTTCTTATTACGGTAACTAAACTAACATGTCGACAAAAATAAGCACAAAAACAGCAACGCGATCTTTCTGTGACCTGTGCTTGGTCGATTAGGCCTGGTAAGCTCACTTTTAATATTCCTGAATGTGTCAACAGTACAAGATCATGCAATAGCAATGCCAAGCTCCAGCACAGTGTTGAACGCGGGTATATAACCAAAAATACATCTCGGAATCATGGAGCGTGGTGCGCTGCCTCTCCTGTTTGCTGCTTACTTTTTTTCCTGTTCGGTTCGTGTACTTCACTTTCTCCTTAGAGCATCAAAGCCAGCTTAACACTCGGAGTCAGCAATCACAACGAGAGGTTTGATCCTGCTTCAGCTGGGCTGTCCTGCTTCACACTGTAGAGACTGCTCTTCATACAGCGACATTTGCTATTGTTTCGCATTAAATGCCGCAGCTCTGGCCGCTAATTTCCGGTCACGATCGTCCATCATGCGGTCCCAGTCCGTCAGCAGCTCCAGCTTGCTCTACTCTCCCGAATTGCAGGGAAAACAGATTTATTGTTAGACACCGCTCCTTCATAGAGGGTGTGGAAGGCGATGAGGCGTACCTGCATGTTGTTGCGAGCCTGCCACTTGTTGACAGCGCCGAAGCCGACGCCCATGAGCGAGAAGGCGACGGAGATGACCACGAGGCCGGGCAGCACTTGGTACGGCATATTGGACTCCAATAATGAGCGGCCCTCAACCGCCGAAATATTCGCGCAACATTCTTTTGATTGGGCTAACATTCAAGTTACTTTTCTCAGAGTTTCAATACACTTTACAATACATGTATAAAAAACAGCTTCAATTTGACTGAATCTTTTTCTACGCTGAATGCGCGGGCTGGAGTCGACTCGACTGTCGAGGGGTTAATTGTAGCGGCAATCCGCCGTCCATGAAGAGCCCCGACTTCAGTACGTAGCCACGTTCCTGTTTCTCGCCAGGTGCAATTGCAACTTGGAAACGGCGCACTGTGGTGGCGAGGAAGAGCTTGGCTTCCAACATTGCCATGTTCATCCCCAAACAAATACGCGGACCTGCTTGAAAGGCTGGGAACTCGTACGCACTGGGACGCTTGGACATCTCCAACCAACGTTCGGGACGGAACTCAAGTGGATCATCACCCCAAAGCGCGCCGTTGCGACCCATGTACCACGGACTATAGACGATGTCAACACCCGCAGGCACAAAAGTGCCATCAGGAAGATAATCGTCCTTGACTGCATTTTTGACGTTATACGGAAGCGCAGGAAACAATCGCACCGCCTCATAAACCACAGCCTCGAGATATTTCATGTTTTTCACATCTTCGAACGTAAATGGTGTTGAGGTGCTTCGCTTTGCAGTCTTCAGCTCCTTGGCAATTCGGTCCTGTACTCTCGAATATTTAGCAATGGCGTAAAAGCTGTATGTGATGCACTCTGCTGTCGTATCTCGGCCAGCAAAGACGAACGTCAAGATAATGGACCGGAGCGTTTCGGGTCCCAATAAGGACGAAGCGTCTGGCTTCTTTTTTTACATTGTTTAAGTAACATAAGTTCACGAGACTTTCGAATAAACAATGACAGTAGGTCTGACCGTGCGTTGATTTCTTCTTCAGACTCCTCCAAGCGTCGGAGCAAAACAGCGTCGGCAACCGCACGAATCTCACGCGTGCGCCACCGGAGTTCTCGCTCACTGGGCATAATCCAACGAAGAACTTTGTAGTACTGCTTTACAAATAATCTTTGTGCGCAGTGCTCGTTGACAAAATCCATGTGCTTAGCAAACTCCTCTACATCCGCAACGTCGCTCAATGGAAGACCAAACGCAGCGTCAAAGATAGACTGCAGTGTGTATCTCGCACTGATCTCCTGTAAATCGCAACAGAAGCTTCCATCATTCGATTGGTTTCCATATTGAACTGCATCCCTGATCGACTCAGCTTGTGCAGTCGCAAGTGTCTCTTCAGCATGACGTGCAAAAACTTTTTCTGTAAAGACACGGAAGTTGGCAGTAGTGAACACCTTGGCAGCTACCTTACGCTGCAGACGCCAACCAGCACCGCCATCAGGTGCTTGAGGGTGATGGTTCATCGCGAAGAACGAGTTGGCAAAGACTTCCTGAAATGCGTCCAGGAATCCTTGTGGCTTCACGTAGTTGCTGACGTTCGTCGATAAAATGTGCTCAACGTCCTTCGGATCCGTGATCTACGCGAATGATCCGCATTAGGTTATTTACGACAGTTCCAGCATTTCTAACAACGATTTCCTTACGTAGATGGCGCCGTCGAAGAAAAGATGCCACGGCATCTTCATCCTACCCCCGAACTGCTTCAGTAGATCCTCCTACGGTTTCAACAGTGAGAGTTGTGGGTGGACGAGAATTGGCTGCATACTTCAAGTACTTACCAGAAAGTGGTAGATACGACGACGATTCTCGATGTATGTCGGCATGTTTCCCAACAACCAAACGCCTGATGGTCCGCTAATTGGGGCCAAACCGCGAGCGATACGCAACTTGCGCTGCAATGCTGTCGACATCTTCGCCAACAACAACACAGCGGTGATAGAAAACAGGAGCTTCATCTCTTTTGCTTATGACAGCGCAAATGCAAATGTGTTCCATGGACCCTAGAAGAAAATCGGTGTGTTCTAAACAGCAGATGAAGAAATCTGGTAATGAACCTACGGGCAACTTGAGTTTGACGTTTTTCGATAATCGAACATGCGAACTTGACCGAACAAATGCCATTTCGTCTGTGCTATTTAACGTTAGTATTTATTGGGATGAGATTGCGATCCACTTAAATACTTGTAGCTGCTTTTTCAGATCAAACCAGGAGATACTATCCCACTTATTGCGTTGGACTACCTTACATCATGTAATACATAAGGTTTTCGACGCAATCCGTCGAAAAGAAACACGAGCGATCTGCAAATAAAAATTGTAGTGGATCATTAAAAAAAGAGATCCATGTTCAGTACTTCGAAGTACTCAAGTAGTACACTATTTGAGTTTTTTGTCATGTGAAATGCATGAAATAAAAGTCTCGAGAGGCTGCGAGCGAATTGCTCTTAGAACTCTTCATTAGCATCATCAAAGCTCTGCAAGAATTACTCAAGCAACGAGCTGGTAATCCCTGCCTCTGAAAAAATAAAACTGTGCAATCTAGGATACATTCCCAGATCTCTGGCAAAAAATGAGCTCTAAGGGAAATGCAACAGAAGGAATTACTTGGTTCAAGCTCTGTTGTCGACTACGGCCATTCTCGCGAGCAGTAATGGCATTGCTATCTCGGACACCAGCGATGCCTGACGACATCTTCGTCAAGTCTATGCCTTCCAAGTACGGCAACATCACCGGGCAAAATGGTGATCGTCACTGATAAAGATTCTCTCTACGAAGTTTCTACCGCTACATCCAGTTCCTCGGATGTCTTCGACTTCACTGAGCTCAACAAGGCGGATGGTGCTTCGGGTGACGAGGGCAGATTGCTCGCATTTGCAACAGGTCAATTAGTCAACGACAAGATTACGTCGGGTGTCATTTTGTGGGTCAAGAAGAATCTCTAAGTGACCTAAGCACTGCTTAATTCGCTTAGCAAAAAACGAATGTACACCTTTCTAATCAATCCTAGTCTTTGGGGTTCTTGCTTTTGCAGTGTTTACTTTAAATAACCTGACTGAAGTACTCGTCGAAGTTTGCAAGGCTACTGTAGCAGCGTGACCTGATGCCATGTACTTACCAGTAAGCAAAGCAGCGAAAACTACATGTACTTGTGGTGTTTTAGCGACACTTACGCATATACTACTTGTTGAAAGACGTATCTAAGTTACGCATACCCCGTATGCGTTATCAGCTACCATTTACCAGGGAACCCGAAAAAATAATATGCATAAAAATCACTCCTAATTTTTTAATTTAAATATTAATTTATGGCTGTCAGCAACGGTAACTTAAGTGAACAACCCATATTTTTAGTAAGGTCTAGTCAAGTTACAGCGTGGGGACGCGCTGAACGTCGCGTAAAAATAAGCCTGCGCTGAATTTAGGTCGCCTGATCTCGAACGGTCGTCTTCAAGAGCCGCCGAAGAGTGCTCTATTGTGAGAGCGGCGTTCAAGAAACGCAATTGCGCACTACGTCGACGTCGCGTACATCCCGCCAACGTCTAACGAGTGTGAGCGCTTCTTCTCTCTCGCTAAGGCTCATTCTCAACCGGAAATATAGACCGCATGCGGCCGCAGGAGGACAAATAGAGTCTTCTAATTGGCTTACGGGGTAGGTGGTCGCATGCGACGAAGCTCATAAAAAGACGCTCATGCGGCAATTTGCCCGCATGCGCTAAACTTGCCGCACAGTAGAGTGTAGGGGTCGAGTGAGCAATAACCAATCAAAATAATTTGTGACTCACGATCTTATGGGGGTGTCTGCTTCAACCTTAAAAAGATCACTTCCTCTTTCGTTCGCGAGGTACACATTCGTTCACTACCATGTCTAACTTACAACTACTACTGAAAGCTGAAGAAAACGAGTTTTTTTATTTGGTTTTATCTGTTCTCGCATCTTTTTGGTCAGCAACGATAACAGAAGCGATGAAATGCAGACAGTTCGTGATCGTATCAACTGGAATTCACATGCTGAGCGATTAGTTTTGGAAGGCGAATTCAAACAGTACTACATAATGAGCTCTGAGGCTTTTGAACGTTTGCTGTTGAACGTAGGTGGAGCATTGGTCATGGACCCGTTGCAATCGGCACGACGGGCCCGTGGAAAGCCTCCAGTGTCACCTGCTGGTATGCTACAAGCCTGTATTTCGTGGCTCGCTGGAGGTAGCTACCATCATATTCGGGTTATTACAGGGACCAGTCGCGCTGGTTTCTATAGAATTGTACATACTGTGCTACGCGCAATCAATACCTGCCAAAAGCTAGCTATCAAGTTTCCTACTACTGATGACGAAATGGAGGTTACAGCAGCTGGATTTCAATCTGTCAGCACTAGTGGTGTCATGCCTGGTTGCATCGGAGCAATCGATGGCTGGCTTTGCCCGATTCGCGTTCCTCGGGCGAGCGAATGTGAACGAGTAGTCTTTTTTTTTTTCGGGCACTATCAAAGATATGGTCTTAATGTCCAAGCTTGTGCAGATTACATGTGCCGATTCACGGCCATGGCTTGCCGCTCTCCGGGTGGTCGTAATGATTCTATTGCTTTCCTGCAGTGGTCTCTCAGTCAAGTTCTTTCGAGGTTACAAGGTCCTTACTTTGTTGTCGCCGATAATGCATACTCTCAATCTAGAGTGGTCATGACGCCTTTTACCCAAGCCCAATTGAAGGGCCATCCTGAGCGCGACAACTACAATTTTTATTTGAGCCAATGTCGAATCCGGATAGAGATGGCCTTTGGGTTACTCGTCAACAAGTGGAGGGTTTTGAAAAGGCCACTTTGTGTAAAGCTGTCTAATGCGTCGCATGTAATTCATGCTTGCATGCAGCTTCACGATTTTTGCATCGATCAAAACTCAATTGAAAATCCTGATACTGTGTCGCGTGAAATTATTGCGATGCGAAGAGATCTACGCTCATGGAACGGCTCGAGAGACCTTAATTACTGCAATACTCAGTACGAAACGGAAGACGGCGACCTCATTGAGCTTCTAGATGCGGTATCACGAGATATATTAGTCCAGCATATAGAAGAAAACGATTTACATCGTCCTGGTCGCAACATTCAGCGTAGAATGCAAATGGATAGCAACAAGTAATAGTATAATCAAATGAATATGTATCTGCTCAGCTTCCCAAGATATGTGTCTGTTCATCTTTCCAAGACATGAACTGATTCTCGTTGCCCTTTAAATCATCAATTAGCGACTGTCTTTGACGAAGAAGAAGGGCTCTATCCTCTTTAAGCCTCTCCATTGTTGCTTCACCTGCATTTGCCATCTCTGTGTCAAGCTCTGACAGCTGATGGCGAATATCCCGAAGCATTTTCAAAATGCAAGACTTTTCTTGTAGATGTGTGGAGGCCGAAGTGCCGGCACGCTCAGCTTCCACCCGACGATCCTTCACATACTCTACAAACGCCCCGGTAAAAACCTCCATGTGCTCGCTATTCCCACGTTTCCCTTTAGACGGTGTAGGTCTGGCGGCCGGTGATTTGAACACAGCTTCTCCGTTGTCATCCAGGGTATCGTACTCGTCTGTGGACAGGAGTCCACCTTTTGCGAAGTTTCTAAGTTCTGGCTTCAGCTAAAGCACTCGTCACATATACACAATTCACAGTTTTAACACTTACGTTAAGACATTTCTGCAAGTACAGTACGTATCCGCAACCATTGACGAAATTGCGGAACTCGTTTTCGTGCTGCCCCGACGTCGTGAACTTCCTCTCGGCAATAATGTAGAGTTTGTCGACCTCTTTCCACATTTCATAGAGTTTCTTTGCTGAATGTGGCTTGAATGTAGATGTGTCAATGCCTAGAAAGAAATCGTCCTCAGCTACCAATTGATGTAATGCGTGGTCTTCAGGGTACGTATGCATAAAAGCAGACCGAACGTCCAACCAGAAACTGCTTTTGTCGTTCACAGATCTTGTGTCCAGGTCATCACGAGGAGGTTTATTCCCAGACTCGCTGAATCGAGCGGCAAGGTCGTCAGAAAACAGAATATTGAGTAGGCGATACATGCAGTGTTTAGTCCGAGTGCCGATTGCAATTTTGCACACTTTGCCATTCGAAGATCCATCTTCACCAAGAAGTACACTACCGAAAGCTGCTTTCGCAGCGTCGTGCCGAAGGAGAATGTCGATACGCTCGGTCTTTTTTAATTTTGCTTTCACCCGCAGACCTCTGCGTGTGCACTCTTTCCTTATTTCATCTGCTGACCACGAGCTGTACACACTTGCCTGTGGTATTGGCTTTCTACTTCGCTTTTCATCTCTTTTGTGTTGCGGGCCGTCGGAAAATGCGGGTTGATCACATGTATTCAATACGTTCTGCGAAAATGTTTCATTCTGGCTGTCGAGCTCAAATAGTCTATGCGGCATTGGTTCTTGCAACTCGAGTTGCTGTTGTTCAAGCGCATGCTGCTGCTGTTCTGCATACGGCAACATATCTCGCTGCAACCGGAGCTCATGTTGCCCGTGGTGTGAGGCTTCGAGGAGGGAGAGTTCAGCATCAGATAGTTCATGCTGTGAGGAGTTGCCAAGCTGCGAGCCTTGCGAGCCTTGGTGCTGCAAATGGTTAGCCGGCCAGAGTCCTTGCTGTGATAGCGCGCTGGGCGTACGCGCTGCCCGTCCAGGAGATGACATTCTGTATGCAGCAACATGGCTAGTGAGCTGCTAGTAAAATAGATATACATGTAGTCCAGGTTCACTTACTCTTTGCTGGTGGAGTCTTGGAATGTGCCGGCTGAGATCACTAAATATATATTTGTAAGCACCAGCTGTCGTTATTGATTGCTCGCAGTCGCTGGTTTTGGTCTCAACCGATGCGGCCGCATGTTACAAAGCCATGCGCTGCGGTGCGGTGCGGTCGTGCCGGTTGAGAATCAGCCTAAGCTGGTGCTGTCCGATCTGCGGAAGCGAATGTCTCAGCCAGGCTCGAGATGATAATGTTTCTGAACTACAATCGTGGACTTGCGGAGTAATGCAAATACATGTAATAGGGGGAGTCAAACTTTGCGTTTTTGCCTGTCATATTTTGGCGTGTACCCATATCATATTTTGGCACGATTTCTGTGATATTTTGGCACCATGACCTGTCATTTCAAAAATCACCTACCTCAGGAGCAGGACGATGACAGGGATTACATGGCATTTCCAATAATAATAAAGTGATCCGACGAGGCAATGTTGCCGTCAGTCTTCAATTAGCTCTTGTACCTAACAGAGCTCAGGAGCAGTTTGCACTGTCGGGAACCGTCATCACAAGTGCTCTCCAGTCACACTTCACGTCGTTCTCAACACACTACTTACAGTACGTAAGCCGTGTGTCCTTCCTTCACGTGGATGTCTAACTGATCTTTTTTTTTTAATAAGAATGACGCTTAATAACGACAGCGGCCCGTCCGCAAAGGTGCATCTATCTAAAGAGGACTATGGCCTGCTCGTTACCTGGATGGAGATACCTGAGAACTTTGCTGCAGCTCATGGCACCAGCAAGAAGACCACCGTCTCGAGAGGGTCCCAGAAGACAAAGACGCAGGCTTTCAATGAGCTGGCGGTGTATTTAAACACACACACGAAGACATCTAATCTTCCTACGCTTACGGGAGCAAACGTGCAGCAGCGCTGGCGAACATACAAGACGAAGAAGTTCCAGCCAACACTAAAAAAGAGCCGCACGGAGACGGGTTTGGGGATGTCCAAGAAGGAGATGAGGCAAGGCTTTTCAATCCAAGGCAAGTTGGACAAGCTGTGCCCACACTTCGCGCGTATGGAAAAGCTGTTCGCTACGAGGGATAATGTTCGAGCTCCAGCAACATTACAACTTGGCTCGCTTCAGCAACATGCTACCGGACGAAATGTGTCAGGCTCTAAACACGGCGAGGAGGACAAAGAAAACCGTTTTAAAGAGATCAATAGTGTTGATAGCGGTGATGACAGCCTCAACTCAAGTGGAAGTGACCCCAACGACCAAAACGACGATCCCGATGGACCCGCTGCTGGTGGCGCGGTAGCTGATCTTCAAGATGATGATAGCGCAGACGAACAAGAACCTTCAGATTACGAACATGAAGCATCAAACTTGAACGCCCGAGCGATTGAACCAGACAATTTATTTGAGCCGACCCCACCTGAAGGTGCTCTATGGACTACAGAAGAAGAGGATGAGCTACTCTCCGTGCCTTTCATGCTAGCGTTACTTGGCAACGCCGCGCTGGACCACTCCCCACGGCAACCACAGCAACGAACAGACGCTCCTGCTATCGGCCAAAGTGGTCCACATCTAGTAGCCTCTATCAGTACGGAGCCAACTGCGCTTCCGGAAGCCTCACGCACGACGGTTTCGACCACTCACCCCTCTTTCCAGCGCGGTAGATCGCGCTCGAAGCTATTAAAGAGAAAGTCACAAGCCCCAGATACCAACTCTGGCAAAACGAAACCACAGAAGAAGAAGAAACGTTCAAGTTCCGGCAGCTCGGACTCTATCGACAAGGAAAAGCCAAAGCGAATGACTGCTCACGAGAGCAGAGCGTCACTATCCTTTGCTTATGCAAAAAATGGAGAAGACAAAATCAATTACATGAAGAAAAAGCTGGAGCTGGACGAAAAAATGTGGAAGGAGCAGCGAAACGCAAACAAAGCCCAGCAGGAACGTGACCAACAGCTTCGCACTCAAGAACTGAAGGAGCGCCGAGCTGCGCGTCGTCATGATATGTTTATGTCACTGGTGGCAGCACAGAAGACTCCGGATGAAATCAAGACGCTTATGGACCTCTAACAAACTGGACTGTAGCCGCCACCATCGAACCCATTTCGAAAGCAAGGTGTCTATGACGCTCGCTAGTTTTCAGTTTTTTTAAGTGTTAGTGGTGCATGCGTTCATAAGTATTGCTTACGGTTAATTTCAATTTTTACTAGCTAAGTGCATTCAGCTCTCCTACCATAGCATTAATAAAAAAAAAACTAGCCTCTTCTCAGTATTCCACCAGGTGCACGTCCACGAGCGATGGCTTTCGCTTTAATTCGTCGCCGAAACGTATACGGGTCTTCATTCATCACTATCCGAGTTCTCACCATCTGAATCACTGCCGGAGCTTTCGCCATCACTAGGCCAGTCATCGCCAAACAACAGCACCATGTTGTGCAGTACTACGCAGGCACAAAGCCACAGTAGCACTCGATTCATATCTTCGTTCTGCCGTATCTGCACTCGTAGCTCCCTAAGTAAAGACCATCGTTCCTTCAGCACACCGATCGTATGCTCATTTACCACACGCACATGAGCAACGCACTTGTTGAAATCTTCTTTCTCGCTTCCAAGACTACTCGTTTTGTACGATGGTACAATTGTATTGTGTGTGAAGTCAGCTGGGTACGCAGAGTCGGCTATCAGATATTCCTCAGGACTGAAAAAGAGTCGTTTCTCTCTGTTATTTGAAAGTTGCATCTCTCGGTACACTGTGCTATCTGAGCATGATCCAGGCCATCCACTGTAAAACGAAATAATTCGGCGGCGATCGTCGCATACTACTTGTGCGCTCACACTGTATCTGTGTTTTCGATCAAAGTAACACTCGCCATCCACAGCGGGCTTTTGCGATAACGGGATCATAGTACCGTCAATAAACCTCACACAGCCAGGAAATCTTTCGGCTTCCATACGACGTGATATTTGCTTTCGGTTTGCTGCATCTGGCCACACTACGAACTCGTCACGAAGATCGTTGAGAGCAATAATGACTCGGGATGTGTAAAGAGCGACAGTTCCTTTTCCAAGCCCCACAACTTTTTTGTGCGACCGAGAGAGGCTCCATTCCCGTTAGTTTCTAGTCTATCAAGTGCAACCGCGAGCTGAATTGTTGCTTAAGTTGCTAAAAATGCTGTGATTCTCAATCGCCGCAAGGATCTTGGAGAATGTGCTGCGCGTAGTCCTTGTCTGCTGCTTGAAGTCCTCATCAGGAAGCCAACGAAAGACGTTGTACGCGAAATCAATGCTTAAGGGGAGTCGCTCTCTTGGTACATGATATCGATGGCCAACGACTAGCTGAAGCAATTCTGCTAGCTCTTCAGTAGGAGTCTCTTCGGAGACTTCCAACAATCCGGGGCCTAGGGTGTTAAAGCCGAGGTCTTCGTCGTCCTCCTCTTCTAGTATCAGGACTGCTTGGAGGTCGATTATTTCCATACTGAACTGCTCTCTTTCGCTCGACCTTGGCATGCTTTGCTTAGTGCCGAACTGACAGTGCGGAATGCAGAGTGATGGTCGACATGTTGGCTTACACCCAGAATGTCAAGTTTTCTTGAACCGCAAGACGGGGTTGCCAACGTTGGGGGCATGATATATTTTGAAGTGTACCCATGTTATATTTTGAAACGATTTCCGTCATTATTTGGTGCACCGACCAGTCATATTTTGTCATACAAAAGCCAAGTTTGACTCGCCCTAATTGAATTATTAATTTGCTCAGCTCACATCAATATATTAATCTAAGTATTGCATTTCGGGTTCCCTGGCATTTACCCGTTTGATCCAATTTTTTTAAGAAAATGTTATTTTTTTAAGGCCCGTGTAGACACTTACATTAACCAAATCTTCCATCCCTACGTGTGACACGCCATAATTGGGTTGCTGCGTCGTCACTTTATCAGACTCACGGCGTAAGCAGCGAGTCAATCTCTGCTTGTGCGTGCCGCCCCCTCCATCGTTTTGCTTGTGGCCATCCACTGGCCTTCTCCCCCCTTCATCTCTTTATCCAGAGCAGCCTCCTCTCACCGCCCCATTCTCCGTACACGTGCTGCAGATGTCATCAAACCCGAGCGCCCGCCTGAACGGCATCTTCCAGGACGCCTCGGTCTCCGGTGGCGGCAATGATGCATTACGCTACACAGCGCCTCGAGAACCGTCGCACAACCAGCAACAACAACAGCCGACACCGGCCCCCGCGGCCACGTCTTCGACAGCCTCGGCCGTCGTGTATTCCACCATGGTCTCGCTGTATCAATACGATTCCACTGCCCGCAAATACGTACAACTTGGCGGCAGCTCAGCTGGCTCAAAAGCGGCCGTGGGCTGCGTCGTCGTGGGTGCCGAGACAGCCTACAATCTGCTCTTCTACAACGCCTCCAAGCAGCATTTGTGTGCTGTACCCATCAAGTTTGGGACCTTTAGACCCACCCTTCAAGCCAAGAGCTACGTCAACTTTTACGACGAACAGGGAGCCAATTGGTCAGTAAAATTTCCCAGCGACGCGCAAGTGGCCGAGTTCATGGGACAGGTCTTCCTGGCCAAGATCCACGTCGAGATCTGGGGCAGTGACAAGACCGTGACCAAGACGAACCCAAGCGCACTAATCCAGGACGACCTGGTGTTCGTCAAGCCCGAGACGCAACAAGTGAGCAACGGAGACACCGTCGCTGTTGCATTTAGTGCCTGGCGAGTCGTAGGCAACGCTAATTCGGCCCCTGCCGACGTCGTGACCAAGTACGCGCCGTTCGAGAAGGCCAGTGAAGGTGATCTACGTAAAATTCGCCTCGGAGACGGTAGTGAACGCATTAAAGCACTAGAAGAGGCCATAGTGGGCATGCGTAAAGGTGGCAAGCGGATCGTATTGGCCCCACCGGGCAAGACCAATGGCCAGGACTGGTATCTCCTGGAAGTTGAGCTGTTTAAAACCAAAACAGGCCATAACGCCACTCCACGCAAGTCGGTACCGACTGTAACCACATCTGAAGAAGCGCCGAAAGCTTCAACTTCCGAGAAAAAGTCATCACGACGACGGTCAAGTCCCAGTAACAACACGTCGTCTTCCCGGTCTACTGGCACCAAAAACGAAGCCAGGAATGGCGACCTGGTCCCGTACGATGAAGACGCGGCAGCTAAGAACGACATGGAGCTCAAGGAGCTGCGGTTGCTACAACGTGAACAGCAATTGGAGCTTCAAGCGCGTGCACTGGAGCGCGAACGGATGAGTGCCACTGGCGGTGGCTTCGGGTCTATGGGATTCGGTCTAAACAGCAGTTTTTCGAACTCATCCTCGATTTTTAACGCTAATTCTCTAAGCACAGGACGTCCCGCGGACGCGATGCTGTCGGAATTGAACGCGAAAGTGGATTATCTCATCCGGATGGCCCCCGGGACGTCGAACTCGGGCTCTGGAGTCGGTGCTGGACCCAGCGACGTGGCTGCAGTTATCCGTGGCGTCGAACGTCTAGCTAATGAAAACGACAGACTTCTAACGCAGATAAACTCGCAACATCAACAGCAATCATCGTACGAGAAGCGATGTGAGGAGCTACTGGAGCAAAACCAGCGTCTTCAAGAAGAGAAGCGGTCGCTCCAAGAGCGATATCAGTCGGCCGCGAGCTCGCAACTTAATGCCACGTCCGAGTTGAGTGCTCTAGCGAGCGCCCGCGACGCTGCCGTGACGCAGACGAACCGACTGCATGCTGAGTATCAACAGCTATTGACCGCGTACTACCAACGCCAACAACATGGTGCTAGTAACGACGCCAAGGAGCACAAACAAGCGTTGACTTTCGAGCGTGAAGCCCGCTCTCGAGCGGAGAAGCAACTGGCCAAGGAGACACAGGCCCGTTCTTTGGCCGAACAGGAGTTGGCTCTTACGAAGAAGCAACACGATGTGGCTCTACAAGTCAAGACGTCGGAGCTGTCCACTGCGACGGCGCAACTGGAGCAACAAGTGCGCTCGCTACAGACGCAACTGCAACAAGTAAATGACGACCGACTGCGTCTCCAGGCGTACGCGGAGGAGCAGACGAAGCAGTTATCAGCTCACAGTGAGACGAAGGAGAGAGACGCGAAGCAGCAGCTGGAACTGGTTGCGCAACTGCAAAGACAGAACGAGGCCTTGACTGGCCAAGTGGACGTGTCCTCGGCACGCGTTCGTGAGCTAGAGACGGCGCTGGCGTCGAGAGCGGCAGCTCCAGAGACGAACGCCGAGGTGGCGGCAGAAGAGAAACGTATTTACGCGGAACAGATCGAGTTGTTGCAGCAACAAGTGAAAGATCTGGAACAGGACAAGTACGAGCAAGTGCTCGCGTCTGGCCGCTTGTCGTCTGCGGAATGTGAGATCTGTGCGACTGTCAAGGAGCGCGAGCAAGCGGCCGAACGGGCGCTGGCCGCTGCGGAGGCGGTCAAGCGGGAGGCGCAGGATATGCTGGCCGTGGCCGCACATACTGGGGGAGGCGCAGAGGAGCGTGAACGCCTCGTGGCGCTCTTCAAAGAAGCAGTGAACGAGATGTTCTTCCGGTTCCAAGACTTGTTTGAAGAAGAGACGGCGGTGGATGGCAAGCAGGCACTTAATGCTATTCGGAAGGTCTTGAAATCCAGTACGAAAAGTATCATTCAACAACTCCAGGAGCCTACGCAACAGAATGAAACAGAGAGTGATGGTAATTTGAGTGATGGTCCCCCGCTACCGCCACAAACTGTGGCAGAAGCTGCAACTGCAGAAGCTGTTGCGGACGCTGTTGCCACTGTAGAGGCTTCTGTTGAGGATGAGAGACATGCTGAAGAGAAGTCACCACGTGTTGCCGCTGTTGTTGCTGATGAAGAGAAGGCCACAGTTGCCTCTGAAGCCAAAGTGGAAAGTGAAGCAACTGCAAGTACAGAAGCACACGCACAGGCAACTGTGGCAACTACACCGACGCTCCATGAAGCGCAGTATCCGTCTAGTGACGAGAGCGACAGTGATTCGGAGCTCCGTCGATAATCTCGACTGCCAATTTAAGGGAAGACGCACGACGCTGCAGGACGATCGAAGACTTGACACGCAACGTATGTCGCCAATATATACACACTCAGCTCGTTTTTGATACTAAACCTCTTAAAAGATAAATATGAGAACAATGGCAACACCTTCCAGCGTCCAAATGAGCTCTTTACTCACTTGGCAATTTGACCTGACAGTGCATTTTGAAGTTGATAAAGAGACCGACTAGACGGATTATAACGATGCCAGGAAGCTCCACGACCAAGAAGACGCCCGTGCGTATGGGCAAGATCTTCTCGCAGATGCTGACGGAGTGTCCGCTAGACGTACGTCTACGCTAGTGTCGCTGCTTGAGGATGTTTAGAGGCCTCTGTTCTTGGCCACATATCACATTTTGACATTTTTTGTTTCTTTCTCATGCCGCTAGGTGCAAGTGTACGGCAAGTGCGTGGCCGACATCCACGGTGGCGTGAACCGTCAGGCCTGTGAGAAGGAGTTCCAGAAGCTGCGGGCCTGCTTCGAGCGTGTGGCGCGTCAGCGTCGCGCCTAGAGCGACACCCATAATTGCTGTGAGAAAAGTACCAACATTTGACCCTTTTCCGCCCAGTTCGCGCCATCTTATCATCATTTCGGAATTTTACGCTCGTGGGTCACATAGCTGAGATGGATGTGGCGGCCTGCGTCCCACAGAGCGATTCAGCGCCTGGTAATAGGTTCATTAACTCTGTTATGATCTCTTCTAGTAGCTGTGCAAGTGGCCGGGACGGAGACACTCTCAAGCACGAGGAAATTGACGAAATCGAAGATAACTTCGGCGAGGACGCGATGCCAAGAGATCGGGAGAGTCTGGAACATGAAGTGGCACGACTAGACGAACTAGAACGCAAACTACAGCTCGAGACCGCAACAGATTTTGTGCTGGGCTGCGAGCTACTGCGGGCTACGCTTCGGGATCAACTGGCCAAGGCTCACGCGGCTCTAAAGCGGCGACAAACGGCGGCACAGCGAGTGTGTGAGTACGCGGGCAAGAAGGGCCGACAAACGTACGTCAATCGCTGCGCCGAGCTCCAGAGAGAGATGAGCGCCGATATCGAGCGAGAGCTACGCAGACTACAGACGGCCAAGGACGGCGTGAGCGTGACCAGTCGCCGTCGCCGAGCTGTGCGTGACGAAACGCGCGGGGGCTTCTCCACGCCGGCCAAGAAATCGGCCAATGGCATGCGAAGACGACGCACTATTGACGGAGACGACGACGGCCCCGAGGACGTGTTCTTGGCCTCGGCCTCGCCCGAAGAGAGAGCTCACAGAGTTCAGTTCCAAGAGAAGAAGCGGCTGGAGCGACTGCTGGGCCGCGCGTCGGTCTTTAAGCCGGCCATCAAGCACGTGACACCCAAAGAGATGGCTGCAGACCTGGAGGCTATACGCAGCGCTGTCCCTTGTGATATGAAGCCCCCAGTGGCCAAACCTGCAAAGAAGAAGCCGGGTCGGCCAAAGAAGCTGAAAAGACGGAGACCCATGATCATCACTTCTCGGAGGATACCCCACGCGTCTGCGACATCATCGAACATCATGGCAGCGAAGAACCGACGACCGAGATTGGGCTACAACCCGCGCATGTTACAGGAGGGACAGGAAGTGGAGGTGTTCAAACGCCAGCGGACAGAATCAGTGGCTGGAAATGACCACGAGAGTCAGGACGAACGTGTCATGTCGGGCACTATCACGGCCGCCACGGCCACGCAGGTATACGTGCTCACTGCGAGTGGCCGCTTCAAATCTTTCGATGTTCGCGACTGCGTTCTCGGCTCGTTGTACGTTCGGGCACTGGAGAGCAACAACGGCCCGACAGACACGTGAACCGCACAAACGCATTGCAATATAATAAAAACAGGCATCAAACCTGCAACCACAACAGCTATACAGTATCTCACGTGGAGTCTATTGGCAGCTTGTCTGTCTTTTGCCTTATTCAGCGCGGCGAATGACTTCCTGGCCACCCATGTACGGCCTGAGAACCTCGGGGATGACAATAGAGCCGTCTTCTTGCTGGTACGTCTCCCACAGACTGATAAGCAGACGAGGGACAGCACAGGCGGTGCCGTTCAGTGTATGCACGAACGACGTACCAGTTTCCTCGGCCTTTGGGTCCTTGTGGCGAATATTCAGGCGACGGGCCTGGTAGTCGGTGCACATAGACATACTAGAGACCTCGCCGTACTCTTCGCGGCCAGGCATCCACGCCAACAGATCGTACTTACGATACGCGGGCGCACCCAAGTCACCTGTGGCCATGTCCATGAGCTCATAGTGCAGACCCAGCTCGGCGTACATACTCGTCTGTATCTCTACCATCTCGTCGAAGAACTCCTGGGCTTGCGTCTCATTCGCACAGAAGGCGAACATCTCCACCTTGCTGAACTGGTGGATACGGTAAATCCCGCGTGTCAGACGGCCACCGTGGCCAATCTCCGTGCGGAAGCAGTGACTGAAGCCTGCGTACTTTAGAGGCAACGTAGGAGTCGACAGGATCTCGTTGCTCTTGGCCGCTGCGAGCGTAATCTCCGACGTCGCAGTCAGACACAAGTCCGAGTTGGCGATCGAGTAGATCTGCGTGGCCTCTCCACGCGGTTGGAAGCCGCAGCCTTCCACGAGTTTGTAGTGGGCCACATCGGGCGGGAACATGACCTTAAACCCGCGTGCACGCAGCTTGCTTAGTGTCCAATGAACTAGCGCGATCTCCATCATGGCGCCTTCGTTACACAAATATGTAAATTTCGACCCGGCCACCTTTGCAGCGGTCTGAGTATCCAGCAGTTCCAAGGCTGTGGCCAAGTCATAATGATCCTTGGGTTTAAAGTTGAAGACGGGTTTCTCGCCATACTTCATGACAACGCGGGATTCCTCTTCACCTCCGACAGGGACATCTGGATGCGTGTCATTGGGGATCTTGAGTGCTTCAAGCTCTAGCTCGGCCGACACCTGGCCGAGCTCGGCCTCGACATCTGCGATCTCGCGCTTCAGTTCCTGTCCACGAAGACGCAAGGTCTCGAAGACTTGCTCTGCTTCCTGGCCCTGTTTCTTCTTGGCTGCGGCAGCTTGGCCGAGCTGTTTGGCGTGTGTATTGCGCTCGGCACGTAGCAGGTTAACACTGTGACGCAGCTTGGCCTGACGCTGATAAAGGTCGGCCACGAGCTGCGGGTTGCCGTCACTGCAACGCTTCTTGCCGTTTTCAATGGCCGCGTCTACATTTTCCACGAGCTTCTTGTAATCGAGTCTGGCCTGGACATGTCCGTGCTGGTTCGCAAACTCGGCCACATCCGGGCCCAACGCGGCCGTAGTACCTATAGATCCAGAGTTAGAAGAGGAGAAACACAACACACGGGCCATGCGAGATGTGGCCCGTGGCGCTCGGGAGCGACAGACACGCGCAAGCGCATGCATCGTGCCCCAATATGTGGCTCAACTGCTAGGAAATGCATGGTGTACGCAACACAACAAAAAAAAATGAACAAATTTGAAGTTGAAGTTGAAGTTATAGCTGTTTTTGTTGTTGTTGTCATTTTTTGGCTGAAATATCTATCAAATCAAAATCACAACTGAAAGCTGGCCATGTCTAGCTGTGGTTCTCACTATCTAAAATACAGTCATTCCCTTAATGCATCTCTGTTCGAATCCAGGAAGGAAGGAGCCTTACCATCCGTCGGTGAAGCGGCCGAAGTTGTTGCGGTTCGAGGAGCGGCCCTTGGAGAAGGACGAGTCAAAGTCGCGGCCGCCGTTGCGCCGGTTGCCGCCGTCGCGGTCGTTGCGTTTCCAGTTGTTGTCGCCCTTGTTACCTCCGAAGCGGTTGTTGCCACCTTCGCGTCTGTTGTTGCCGAAGCGGTTGTTCGAGAAGCCGCGCGAGTTGTTGCGGCCGCCACGTTGGCCAAAGCGGCCACCGAAGTTGTTGTTGTTGCGGCCGGCTCTGTCGACGACCAGACGCGGGAATTCCACAGCGGTCGTCACCGATACTTCCTCATCGGGCGACGAAGCGGTCAAATGGGCCTGTAGCGCCTCTATCTTGCCCTGCGGGATGTCAAACACCAGCTTGCCTCCTTCCACAGGGTGGATGTCCACACGGTCGTCCATGAATGACGCTAGTAGACGGTTAAGATCACGCGCGTTCTGCACGCCCTCCACCTCTACAGTCTGCATACGGTGGCGGCCCGTCAGCATGGAAAGCGACGTCAGCTTCTTCGAGTCGAAGCCGCACAGCAGCGCGAGCGCAGCGCTCAGCACACCCGGTCCTTGTTGTTCAATCATGGCCTGAGCAGCTTCATCGAACAGCTGCGCGTTCGCCTTGGGCAGTGACGAGAGCTGCTTGTTCACATCCTCCAGAGCGCCAGTCATCATCTGCTCGGGACGAGGAGGAGCCGCGTGCGCGAACTTAAACTTGTAGCGGCGCTCAAAGTCCAGCACGTCGCTGGTGTCGTTGCGATCGAAGAAGACGATGTTGGTGCCCGAGCGGCCGGCACGGCCGGTACGTCCAGCACGGTGCACAAAGCTCTCCTTGTCACTGGGAAGACGGTACTGCACTACGAGCTCCACGTTGGCAATGTCCAGGCCACGCGCGGCAATGTCCGTGCACACCAGCGTCTTGACGTGGCCGTTGCGGAAGCCGTTCATGGTAGACGTACGCATACCCTGCGACAGATCGCCGTGCAGCGCACGCGCGTCCTGGCCAGGCAGCGAGTTGGCAATCTCGTCCGCTTCCTGCTTCGTTTCTGTGAACACCAGTGTCTGGCCGTCGTGCGCGTGCAGACGCAGCACGTTTTCGAGCACCTGGATACGGTCGCGCGAGGGCGCGAGAATGGCCTTGTGGGCCACAGTGGCCGGCACGTGGTTGTCATTGTCGCCCACAAGATCAATGTTCACGAGCTCGTCAGGAACTTGCTAGCCATCGAGCTGACCCACTTGGGGAACGTGGCCCGATCCACATGACAGTCTGGCCACCGTCGGGAACCCAGCCCAGAATGGTCTCCACGGCCTCCTGGAAGCCGAACTTAAGCATCATGTCGGCCTCGTCCAGGACGGACACATCAACGTCTTCGAGAGACAGCGATCCCTTGTCCACCAGGTCCATGATACGGCCGGGCGTACCGACGAGGATGTCCACACCGCGACGCAGTTGGTTCTCCTGCACTGTGTAGGACACGCCGCCCACGACGTTAATAGTGCGCAGCTGTGGGGCCACGCGCTGCACCTGGTCGTGCACCTGCTGCGCCAACTCGCGCGTGGGCAGCAGCACCAGTGCCTGCGGGTTGCGCGTGTTCTTGCGGTTGGCCAAAATGGTCTCGATGGTTGGCAGCGCGAAGGCAAGCGTCTTGCCCGACCCAGTTTTGGAGCGGCCCATGATGTCTGAGCCCTTCATCATCACATCAAACGACTGCGTCTGTACTGGGAACAGGTGCGTCACGCCGGCGCGCTCCAGATTGCGCTGTGTCTCTTGCGATAGATCGAAGTCAGCAATGGGCTTCTGGTCCACGAAGCCCTGCAGCGGTTCCAGTACGACGTCTTCGCCGTCCTCCAGCTCCACGACAGCAGCTCCGTCTGTGCCAAAGTCCAAAGGGGCCGAAGAGTACCAGGCCGTGGAAGCATGGCCCGGCACGGCCGCGAACACGCGGACTGAAGAGCGAGAAGCCGTCGGCACGGCGCGACGCATGGCCATTGCGGCCGAGCGGCCGGCTAGGCGGCGGAGGGAGACAGCGAGCGGCAGCATCTTGGACAACAGAGCGAGCTGAGGTCGAGGATGAAGTAGTGAGCACGTGCGGCCAGCAGTGAGTCGAGTACAAAAACCGACGGATCAAAGTAAATTGGTTGGTTGTCGCTTCTCTTGGTTTCACTAAGGCCCCGGGTTATTGTATAATGTTAGCTGAATTTGCCACAATAAAATTGACGATATTTTTTTTCCGTCTATTTTTTCTTTAAGGAAAAGTGCTTTTAAATGCAAAAATGAAACGCTTTAAAAAGAAAGCACCTTTGCAAGAAAAACGCTTGATTTAAGAAAAGCTAACAAATGTCCTGCTTACAGTACAGTATTTTAAAATCGCCGTGTACCGTACTTAAGTGGGTTGTCAAAAGCTAACATATACAGTACCGTTACCAGCCGTGACGAGTGTACACAACACAATTTGTGCCTGTCACTATTTGGTTACTACTAATGTACAAGTGTCACCAGTTATGATACATCTTCTGATTTTTAATCAGTGCGAAAGCATGTCAATTGCGCAACTGATTTATAAAATATGAGATCCTCTAAAGATACGAGCTGCATCCACTCCAATCACTCTTTAATCTCCTCTCAAGCCAACAAGACCTCTCCGCTATGAACCTCTCACTTTTTGTCGCTGCTGTCCTGTGTGTTGCGTTTCAAGCCGCCGAAGCCACCACGCACCTGCGTGTGCACATCCTGACCGAGTTGGCGAGCGCGGGCCAGCAGTGTGAATGGGTGAACAAGGCCGTCAAATGCGACGCTGCTACGTTCTGCCAGAAGTCTGACAAACACACCGGATTCTGTATGAAGAAGAAGCCTGGACTCAACGACCAGTGCGGCGGCAAGGGTGTGAACGGCCCGTGGTCTGTGACCTGCAACGCCACGAATCTCAAGTGTGTCCAGCAATCGAGTACGGTGAGTAAGTGCCAGAACAAGTAAACCCAGGTGCTCCAGCGTGAACACAAAGCAGGCTGTAGAATACCGTTTTATAAGGCTCGATTGCCCATGCCAAACGCAGTAGACGCCCACCCATTCTTTCGTAGTGACAGTTGCAGTGAGTTTTGCAGGAGGCAATATTGTCGCTCGATTCGGCCGTCTGTTGCAACGCTCGTTAAAAAAAACGTAATGGAAATGAACACATTGCACTTTTTGGCGGATATGATCCTTTATCTATCAATATTTCAGTCCGTTGCCATCCATTGTTATTGCCAATCTTAGCACAAGGTTAAGGTATTCAAAAGTTGTGGATTGGACACGATCACGCAAAGTGGGAGAGAAGCCGAATTTCACACTTGAGAAAGACAGACTTTATCTTAAATGTTTCTTGCACTTGCAAATTTCTCAACTCTGTAGAAGCAAATATGAAGAAGCTTTTTGCTATCAAAAGTGGCAACTTTGGCGTCAAAAGGCGATGCGCCACTCTCACGACGCTGCTGCTTTCCATCCTGCTCGTTGCAGTCACCAGCACAAGCAACGCGGCGGCAAAGGAAGCAGCTTTCAATGCTTCCGATTACTGGGCCAAAGACCAACCGTACAAGTTTCAACCACAGTGGACTCGTCTTCCGGATGGGAAAGTTGTGGCGAACAATGGCTCAAACTTCAGCAACTTTACAGAGTACCGTGGTGCGGTTGAAGCCAAAACCCCGAGATTTTGAAGAGGGGTTTTTCTACGCGAGTGAGAGTACTCTCGCACTCTTTAGAGAGAGTACGTTCCAGCACTCTTTGAAAGAAGGACATACCGCGATTGCTGATGTACAATCTCGTGTCTCCTATGGATTACGGAAAGTCTGTGCGCTCCAACAACGTGCGTCGTCGCCGCAACAAAGCGATTGGAATGTTTCTCACTAATAATTTGGCACTTCCACTTGTGAAATCTCTTGGTCGTGTTGCTTGGAACCTTATCCAGAGTCACTATGTTGGATATTTCAAAGACGAGATATTCGCACAGCGTCTAAAGATGATGAACGCCAGTGAAATGATTCGAGAATTTAATCTCACCTTACCGTTAGATGCGATTGAAGCTGCAGAAGAAGAAGAAGAAACCCGACCGAATACAACGTTGTCGTTTGTTTATGATGGGGCAAGCAAGAGATCTGTGCTTTATTCGCAGTATACTGCAGCTTTTGCGCCGTATGAAGGCTACTCGGACCAATATTACACTCGCGATGATAAATTACCACTTCCAACTTTCCCAGCTGATAGTTATCCCTGGTTGTGGTCTCCACGTATTAACGAGACGAGAACAATAGCGTCACTGCTGCTTGAATCACTTAGCTCGGGTAATGAAGACCACGGTGGCGAATCAAACCCGGAGACTAACAATTTTTTGAGACAACTTACAACTCAAGCAGCAAACGACAGCATTCCTGTTCGAGTCACAAATCAGAGCATTCATAGTGGCAAAACTGCAATGAATGCGCGCGATACCGAAGCTCTTGATCAAATTCAAGTGCAACTTCAAGAATTTTACTTCGATACCGGCATTCCTCGGCTTACAATTCGTTCAAATTCATCACACTCGGTCTTTCCGCCGCCGACAGAATTTCTCCAAGATCTGATCAGCAATCCCGGCGCTAACAATTCTGAGCGCGGTGCCACGGAAAGCCTCGCTAGCTCAGAGAAATCTTCACATTTGACATTGCTTACCATCGTCGACGACGTGACGGATTTCTTAACAAGAAATGAAGTTTACGCTGCACTCACTCACTTTTACTCCTATCCTTCGGTTGACAAATGGATAGTTGCAAGGGAAACTACATTTGGAGGCAATTGCTCAGTGGGTCAACTGTGCCTGGTGCAATCTGGCGTGACCGTGTATACGCCATCATTGCCAACGCTGTCGTTGTTTCAAACATTTGCCAACATGAGCCTGGACCGAACAGCAAAACGAGCAGCTCGTCTGAAGGCACTTCAGAAAATGACCGAAGTTGCTTTTGAAGCCGAACGACGAGCCCTAAATCACGGCTTGCAAGGACCTTCCACCGTCTGGTATTCCAGCCACGACCTTGACGTGGATGAGTTTGCCGACGCTGTTCTAGGTACATTGAACATGTCAATAAAGGAAGATCCATCTCCTCTTCACGTGTTCGAAAAACACAGAAATGAACGAGTTTCCATACTGGACGAGGTGGTATCGTACTATGCAGATACGAACCACGACACGAAAATTTCCATGGAGCTCAATCACAGCATTCCAATGCTCGATAATTTCGAGGAAAGCGAGCTTGTCCAGTTGATTAATGTGATGGAAAAACACATGAAGATTCTGGATGAATCAATTATCTCGTACGTACAGACTCGAGTTGCCAACCCACTGTATCAGGAAGTTGTGAACGCCACGAAGAGAGAAGTTTTCTACAATGGAAGTGAATACACGTTGGTAGGTTTCGGCTTCGTTGTACCTGCAACCAACGACAAAAACGTGTTGTATCGCGACATGAAGTTGCCAGTGCCGTTTCATCTGGTTCTCCGCTTAATCGTGCGATTCCAAGAGAGTCGTTTGCTACTACCGCAAGAATCTCGTCAGCTTTTAGTTTGCCTAGCGATGGCATTCTACAATTTGTCTTTTTACCGTTGCCGTCCTGTGCTGACTTAATAAACGAGTGTACCGTCGTAACATTTTACGATAGAAAATAAGAAGATAAAATTCCATGTCAAACTCCTTTTTTTCTGATTTAGTTGCTCATGAACTTTTTGTTTTCGGCAAAACCCTCGGTTGAGGCCTTGCCGAGTGGCGACGTGAGGCAGTATTCCTGTAGTCTCTTCATCATGGGCGTGTCAAGTCTATGTGGGACAGCGCTTTTACCGGAGATGTAGTTGAAGATGTCGATGGTCTCTTCATTCAGAATGTCCTCGTATTGCTTCAGCTCGTCGCTCGAGAGTTGCATGACATTCTGGCTAGCCCAGCGGCCCAATAGAAGATCCACCTCCAGCCAGCCGCGCTGCTTGCTGCGGTAGATGATGCGCTTGCGATTGGCCTCGTCCGAGTCTACATCATGGTCGCCTTGGCTGCTCGCTGGGAAATTGCCCTTTGCCGAGATGTGATCGGCGCGGATGGCTGCGCTGCGCTCCAGTGCGCGCTTGGCTTGATCTTGAGAAATGTTTTTAAGAAAAGCCTTGTCATCTACTTCTCGATTCGTAGACATCGAGCGTAGCGTCTGTCGCCCTGAGCTACGGCGAGCGGCGGCAAGCATCCGCGTCACCTTGATGCGCAACATGTTTCTTGGCCACAAGCGGCAAATGCTGTATTTTCAGTTTTTATCAGGCAGTTTTGTCCGTGAAAATAGTTCCAATTGGCCAATACTCAAATTTTCATTTAAGTGCGAAATGAAGAAGATCTCTTCGACTGTCTTCAAAGCCAAAAGCAGCGGAAGCGACTTGCCTGTGTGTGTAGAGTGTAGAGCAGCCAAAAGAGCACAAGAGCGACCATGAACGCGTCCGACGCCGACCGACAGATCAAGCAGATGGTCAACTTTATCCTGCAGGAGGCGCAGGAGAAGGCCAACGAGATCCGCATCAAGGTAATAAAAATGAAAAATAATTCACCAGAGTGAAGGGGAAAGTGTTGCTGAAATCTCGGAACCATTTTGATCAGACGGAGCACGACTTCAACTTGGAGAAACAAATGCTGGTGCACAACGCCAAAATCAAGATCCAGGAGGAATACACTCGCAAGGAGAAGGAGCGTGAGATCAACAAACGCATGTGAGGGAGCTGTGTGTGTCTTTCTCGCTATTGGCAAAGTTAATTAACGCTTCATCGTTATTTTACTAGTGCTCGCTCGGCGGAGATCGGTGCCTCACGTCGACAGAAGATGATTGCGCGTGACGAGCTCCTGAAGACGCTCATTGTGGACGGTCAGGCCCAGTTGAAGAACTACACGACCGCCGACGAGAAGAACAAGGCATTGTTGCGTGACCTTATCGTCCAGGGGCTGATCAAGCTGTATGAGACCGACGTGGTGGTTGCTGTGCGCTCCAAGGACGTGCGTCTAGCGGAGATGGTGATCAAGGAAGCCACGGACAAGTACATCGCTACCATGAAGAAAGAGGCCAATCTGGACGTGAGCAAGGTCAAAGTGACGCTTAATAAGGTGGCTGATGGCATGCTGCCAGAAGCCAAGGCTGGCGGTGTCGTGTTGTACGCCAAACAGGGCAAGATCGTGTGCGACAACACTTTGGACACGCGTCTGGACCAAATCTACTACGACCTTAAGCCCACGGTGCGCAAGATGCTATTCCCGACTCCGTAAAGCAAGATCTGGGCTATGCAACTTTTGTTGCTTGCTTGCTTGATTTCAATGTCGTGTTGCCGTATCACAGCGGCAACTTGATCGAACACCAAGACCTAGTTAGGTTTTTGTGTGTTAAGCTTTTACATTCAACCCACTTGCCATTGTGTTGCAATGATGTGGCCGAGGAGCAACCGTTGCTTAATAACCGAAAACTTGCAAAACTTTTTTTTAACACAACTGAAGTTGCATTAAATCCTGCAGTGTCCATTTTTGCCATGAAGCAGTTTGTTTGGCCTCCTCAGTATAAACAACAGACTGGCTGCTAGGAGAAATATCAGCATGAAATAGGGAGCTTGTATCGGGTTTCCACATCGCCGAGAACGGTCCGTACGCAACGCTTACCAAATGTGCAGCATCAATCTGAGTGGATGCAAAACGCCAGTCGCTAGATCGCTCTCCATCCAAAAGTAGTTCCCATTGGTCTTCTACGCGAACAAACTCAGCTCGGAGTAACGAGAAGCCTAGTCCGATTCCCACCGCCTTAATGTACGCTTCCTTGAGAGACCATAGTTTATAGAATCGAATATATTGACGATCTTCATCTTCTGCTCCGCGGATATATTCCCATTCTCCTGGGTTGAAATGGCCCGTGAAAGCTCGGAAAAAATCCTCGATCGACGTCTTGCGATGCGGTCGATCCGTTAGTCGAACGACGTCCACACCCACTAAGCTACGAGCGTCACTGGCAATTGTAACGATGGTGCCATGATGCGAGACATTGAAGTTCCACGATGACGGAGCGGGGTTTCCCGGTAAACGATTCCAATACGGTTTATTCTGCCACAAGTAGCAGTGTAAGTATAGCAAGAGCAAAGGACGGAATGTTATTTGTAGTGCAGGCTGCAAACGCACCTCGGGTGTACGCGCAATATCGATGGTGTCGTATTCAACTCCGAAGAGCTCGTGGATGAGCTGTCGCTGCAGCAAGCGACTAGCGAGCGCTAGCTTCTGGTCTTTCGCGAACATGAAGCGCGTCACCTGCTTCTGCTCGTGATCTGGGAGCTGAAGCAGCAGCCGACGCCATTCACTGGAAGTTAAATCCCACGCGGTCACGTCCACGAACCGCAAGCATTGCATGGGTGTTGCACAAATGCACGACGATGGTTCAAAATAGGATTTGCTCGAAGCAACAAATACAAAAAAGATCGCAGCATTCAAAATACGATTTGCTTGAGGCAGCAAATACAAAAAGATTGCTTGATGCTTTAATTGACGTTATCCGTTGCAATTTCCTCCAGCTTTGTTAACTTCGTGTCACTTTCATGAACATCGACATGCTTCCTTTACTTACGCGCGGCCGCCAATGGGCGAGTAGTGACGACGCACACGGTTCTGGCGCCAGCGCACAACTGCAAAGATCGCACCGGCAACAGCCACCAGGGCGAGCGCAATGACGCCCAAGATGGCGGCAATGCTCCACTTGGCCACCGACACGAGCAAGTGGCCCGTCTTCTCCTTCGTCTTGTGGATCGGAACAGGCACAGCCTCCGGAAGCTCCGTTGGGGCAGCGCCCGGCACAGTGAGGAGGTGGCCGGCACCACCGAAATCGCAGGTCGCTCCGTTTTGGCGGTTGAGGTGCCAGTACTGGTTGAAGGCCCAGTCGCACTGCTCCTCCAGAGTGAGGAAGCGCTTCTTGATGTCCGAGCAGTCGATCTCCGGGAAGTTGCACGCGAACGCGAGGCCGCTCTTGAGCTCGAACTCCTTGACTCCACGCTTGGCACGGCAGACGAACTCGCCTCTGTCTTCCTTCACACACGCTCTCTCCACTCCATCGCTCTCGTGGTAGTCCGACACGTTCTTGGGGAAGGCGCCCATACGCCATAGGTCCAGGAAGCTCCACTTGGTCGCAAACTCCGTCTTGAAGTTCCAGAAGTACCAGCCGTGGCCATTAGCGAAGCCATTGAGCTTCTTCAGAGTCAGCGACTTGGTCAACGCCGCGTCGTCGTCTTGGTGGAACGAGTCCTGACTGGTAACGGGACACTTACCGAAGGACGGACCAGACATGCCAGTGCCGTATGGACCCTGGATCGGCTTGGTCTTGTCCAAAGGAGTGCCCGGGAAGCCGTCGCCGAGGTACGTACTGTTGACCGGGCAGTCTATCATGTGGCACTGCACCTTAGGGAAGCCAGGCAAGTTGTCGTTGAAGCCGTTGAGCCACATGGCGCAATTGTCCGTGCCAATAGACCACTCGCCGACAATCACCGGCATCATGGCGTTCTCCATGTCACTGATGACATATTTCTGCTGACAAGCGTTGGAGAAGAAGTCTGCAACCGTTCCAGGAGGGTTCCAGGCCTGGTAGATGTGCGTGTCCAGAGCGATATCGGGGCAGCCCTTGAGGAACTTGGCCCAGAACTGCAGACCGAAGCGGAACGAGTCGTGGATGACGAATTTCCACGAGGGAGCCAACACCTTCACACGTTTGTAGGACTTCCAGTAGTACCGCTTCAGCACCTTAATAGGAGTGAGTTCCCATGGCTCGTTCACCGGCTCGAGACCCATGATAGCCTTGTGGCCCTTGTAGCGGTTGATAATAGCCTCCACGGCCACAATGGAGTGGTTCAGGTTGGCGTAGTTGATGCTCGAGTAGTTGTGGTTCTCCACGTCAAAAGTACCAGCCCATTCAGCTTGACGGATAGGCCAGTGCTCGAACGTCGTGGTGCCCACAGGCTGCGTGCTGGCAATGGACGTCCACTTGACATTCGACGATTTGCCACTGTTGTCGAAGCCGTTCTGCGAGCCAATCAAGCCGTGGATATCCAGAAGGATTTCGAGGTCGTACTTGAGAGCCAAGTCGGCCACGCGGTCCAGCGCCTCGACGGCACCGTCCGTGCAGCCAGCAAAGGGCTCGTACGGGTTGAACATCCAGTCACCGACCGGCACACGCAGCGAGTTGACGCCTGCAGCAGCCAGCTCGGCGATGTCCTTCTCCGTGACCCAGTTGTCATAGTGGATACGCAGTTGACGGTTGGCTTCCTCCTTGTCCAGTGCCGTGCAGAACGTGTGCATGTCCATGGCTGTCTTCCCCGGAGCCTTGTCACCGAATCTCTGCTGGGTGTTGAGGAACTGGTAGAAGAGCGTGGGCGTGATCCACGGCTCCAGTACGAGCCAGCCGCCCAGGTTGACACCGCGCACTTGCTTGTTGAAGGGCGTGGCGTGCGTGTCCAACGAGCACGTCATGTCCGTGTCGTTGGGCTTGAAGGACTTGAAAATGCCGCTGTCCTGCGAGAACATGGAGGCCTCGCTGTGTTTCCAGTACCACTCGTAGTCAGGCAGGTCTTCCGTGTCGTGAGGACCCGAATCGGACTTCGGCTTGGACGTCGGTGCATCCGTTGGTGCCTCAGGGGCGGGCGGAGCATCGGTGAGCTCGTCGTGCGAGTCGTCCTGAGGCACGTCCATGGAGATGATGGACTGGCGGAAATTGGGCTCGCCCAGGGCGGACTTGCTGGAAACGCTCGGCTGCAGCGACAGCGCCAGAAGCGCACAGAGCGCTGCCGCTGTCTTCAGGCTGGACCCGACCAACATTCTGCCTACAGATTCGAAGCTGGCAACTGGATACAGAGTCTAGTGCGCACCTCGGAGCAAATGCGGAAATGAGAGAGGATCTTGCGACTGATTCGACTGCACCCTTTAACGAAGATACGATGGCTGAAAATTGCAAAACTAGACGGTATGGTGGACTTAATTTTTGTAAGGCACACAGCCCAGAAATGAGATAGGGATAAGAAAAATTACGTGATAGCCTATCATGTTGCGATCTTCCGTGTTGAAGTACTTCATGGTGTGGCAGCCAACCAAATGAGCATGGCATATCTTTAGCAGCTTGCTAGCCAAATGATAATAGGCAACGCATGCGCGCTTAGTCTGAGCGTCACCATACACGCGTCTGGTCTCGTTGCGGCAGGCCAGCGCCGCTTTGGCCCGTAGCGGTGCTCGTAGATGGTGAAGTAGAGTGGCGTGCGCTCCAGACACCAAAGTTTGTAGAGTCTACTGTAGACGGGTCGGAAAAGAGAAGGGGGCCCGAATCTGATCATGAGACACATTCGATGGTGATCGATAGCTGGCGCCATCGACCGACTTGGTAACGGCGTCTTTTCGAAAATGAGAATCAGGTTCATTGTCCAGCGCTATAATAAAACAAGGCAACCAAGGCAGTTATGAGCTTCGTTTACGTGAGTTCTCACTTTGTTCAAGCTATCCATACTTGCTCAGGACCTCAGATCGAGAAACTCGCCTAGCAGCTAGGCTAGCTAACGCGTACGTGTTGTCCAACTTGGCCCACCATGTTGAGCGATATTGCACCCAGCAATCGGCGTCCATGATCGTGGTCAGAGTTCCAACCGTCAACGCTGTTGCCAAGAACTCTCCAGGTATCAGTCATCCGACACCCGGATTGTTTCCAACCGTTCGTTGCCATTGCGATTCTGAATTCTGCAAGGGCGTCAATTGCTTCGCGATGCTTCTACCATCGATTTTCAATCTTGCACAATTTGTTTAAAGATGTGGTCATTAGGGATCAAACGTTCACGACGTGGCCGATCAAAGGAGAGTATTCTTGCCGTCTTCTGTGGCGCGTGACAGCCATGACGACAGCCAGTCCACTTAAGCCCACTGCAGCACACACGAGGGTCCAGACAAGGATTTCCTTACTAACGGAGGCGGTCAGGAATTCCTGACGCTCGACGCTAGACGGACTGGGGATCGTCATAAGGTGTGCTGCGCCGCCAAAGTCACATGTAGCGCCTTCCTCACGGTGAGCATGCCAGTACTCGTTGAACGCCCAGTCACAGCGCTCCTCGATCGTAGTAAAGCGCTTGTCAATGTCGGTGCAGTCCACCTTGCCATCGTCGCCACCACAGGCAAAATCCAAGCCGCTCTCGAGGTCCGATCGATGAACTCCACGCTTTGCCGCACAGACGAATGCGCCCTTGTCCTCAGCCAGGCAAGCCGAGAAGACTTCCTCGTCGGAGCGATAATTCGACACATTCTTGGGAAAAGCGCCCTTACGAACCAGCTCCAGGAAGTTCCAACGCGAGCCAAACTCCGTCTTGAAGTTCCAGAAGTACCAGCCGTGACCAACGGCGAATGCATTCAGCTTCTTCATGTTCAAGTTACGCGTGAACTCGCGCTCGTCGGTGTCGTCTTGCTGGCCAAACGACGTGTTGCTGGTGATCGGGCACTTGCCGAACGACGGACCGGATTGGCCAGTGCCGTACGGACCTTGAATTGGCCTTGTAATATCCAACGGAGTGCCGGGGAATCCCTGGCCGAGGTAGGTGCTGTGCACGGGGCACTGTGTCATGCGGCACTGAATGTTAGGGAAACCCGGCAGATTGTCATTGAAGCCATTTAGCCACATGGCGCAGTTGTCTGTGCCCAGCGACCATTCACCAACAATTACAGGCATCATAGCGTTCTCCATGTCGGCAATCATATACTTTTGCTGACAGGCATTAGAGAAGTAGTCTGATCGGGTACCGGGGGCGTTCCAAGCCTGGTAGATGTGGGTGTCCAGGGCGATATCGGGGCAACCGCGCATGAACTGCGACCAATACTGGACACCGAACCGGAACGAGTCGTGCAGCACAAATTTCCAGTGCGGCGCACGGGCCTTAACGCGCTTGTAGGACTTCCAGTAGTAATCTTTTAAGAGGTCAATGGGCGTGAGTTCCCACGGCTCGTTGACGGGCTCTAGACCGATGATGGCTGGGTGCTTGGCATATCGCTCGACTATGACCGCCACTGTTGTAAGTGAATGGTTTAAATGCTCGTAGTTAATGGATTTGTACGTGTTCGTAGCAAGGTCGAACTCGCCAGCCCACCCGGCGGAGCGTAGCGGCCAGTGCTCGAACGTGGTGGTTCCGATTGGACGAGTGCTGGCAATCGATGTCCACTTGACAGACGAGGACATCCCACTGTTGTCGAAGCCATTTTGCGAACCGACGAGTCCGTGGATGTCCAGCAGCAAGTCGATGTTGTACTTGTAGGCGAGGTTAGCAACACGGTCCAGTTCATTGACAGCGCCGTCCGTGCAGCCGATGTAGGGCTCATACGGATTGAACATCCAGTCGCCCACCGGTACACGGAGCGAGTTCACGCCGGCTTCAGCCATCTCTTTCAGGTCAGCTTCGGTCACCCAGGTAGCCCAGTGAATACGCAGTTGGCGATTGGCTTCTTCCTTGCCTAGTGCCGTGCAGAAGGTGTACATATCCATTGCCGTCTTCTCGGGGGCCTTGTCGCCGAACCGCTCTTGTGTACTTAGAAATTGGTAAAAGAGCGTGGGGGTGATCCACGGCTCCAGCACCAACCAACCACCGAGATTGGCACCGCGGACCTGCTTGTTGAATGGAGTAGCGTGTCGGTCACTGGAACACGTCTGGTTCTCGTCGTGGGGCTTGAAGTTTTCGAAGAATTCGAGATTCTCGGAGGTGAATTCGTGGTCGTTTTCCCAATACCACTTGGCGTCCTTGATCCCCGGTAAGCTGTCGTTGTTGCCACGCAACGTGGTGTCCAGGACGTGCTCGACGGGCTTAATGGCCGTTGCTGCCATCGACAACGTCGAGAGTGCTGCAGCCACTTGTAGCAAAACCTTCATGGCGACTACGGAAACGTCGGAAGCTTGTGCAGGAGCGGAGTGAGGTGTGCGCTGCTTGTGTCTGAATTGGAAATGAGCCAGAGAGGGCTATGGACAAGGAAATCGCTCGTCGAGACGAGCAATGCTCATGAGCCATGGCCTGGCCATTTGGGCGATACCTAGTACATGTACTCGATCGTATCGCTTGCTCGACTCAAGGTGCTGTGCACTGACACAGAAAAGGCAACAAGTCACCACTGAAAACTTCAACGCGGCATAAACGGACACGACGGTAAAGCGCTTGCACAGAGGCTCAAACTTTTTGCCGTTTTTTCAGGTAAGCAATGCTAACTTAGCATTGAAGTTGGAAATGGTCTCGGAGAAAATGGCGGTGTCTTCGCGGCTGAGAAAGCGAAAGACCTGCAGCAAAAGGCATCTTGAAAGTGATTGGCGTAGACACTCGAAATCCGAGTGTCTACGACGGTCACTTTTAATTTGGGCGGGTGGTCAGTAGGATACCAATACATGTATTATACTTGTACCGTGCTAAGCACGGCGTGCTTGCCTGCATGTTCTTCTCTCTCGACTGTACGTGTACACAAACACTACACCTTGACAATTCACCGGAAATGCTCGCGCTTGCACTCCAACCAAGACAGACTGCCAGTCTTCATCATCGAACTCCGCGCCGCGCTCGTCACCTGCCCACGCGGCAGTGCCCCACCCAATGTTCCGACGTACGTACAGTATCTCTTATAATACAGTCTTTGTATACTGTATTGAAAAAGAACACACGGCCTCATAACGGCGGAAGTTCGCGCCAACTTGGTCGGCTGCATCAAAATGCGATGCTGCCCGGAACAAGTCGATCTTCGTTAGCTCGCGTGTTGAAGTTCAGAACAGATGGCGCACATTTGAAGTGGCTTTTGCCAAGTGGCCTGTCCATCGCGACAGCCAAAGCTCGCGTCCTCAGCCTGACGCGCGCAACGCGTGGTTGTGCGAACCTGACACCACGCCGGAGGAACGACAACATAGCCTTGGAGCTTGCTTTGCACGAGCCGTACATGGATTCAGAGAGGATAGAACTCTCCACGCCGGACAAGAAGCGAGACGAGAAGCGAGATAATACGCATATCCTCGTCGATCATGCACATGTAGTGCCCACCTTTCATTCCCGCGGCAGAAGCTCTGCATGGATCACGCAGTGAGGAACACTGTGGACTAGCAATTGCTTGTGAATCAGCAGGATGTCACGGCATTCTCTGCTAGGCTTCACGTCATCGAGACACTCTCTTGGAGAGAATGGCAGCACCGCCGGCTGAGCGGTGAATTTTTGTCGGGAAGGCACTCAACATTATTGCTGTACCGGTAGTGCTCTATTTCCCCCTGATGAAGAGGCACATTTTTTTTGTAAGAAAATGGGCAGGCGTTATTGTGACCGGTTCCACCATTTGAGACAAAACATCGATAAAACAAAATGTAACCAACGGATGACTTTTTGGGCTCGCACCAGTTCGACAAAACACGGACTAAATTTGCCCATCGACCATCCTCCGGTCATCCTTCGACAAGATATAACACACCGATGATCGCTGACAAAACACTACCTTATGCGACCCTTCAGCGCTCAGTGTACGAACGAAATCTTCTCGAAGATGCCAGCACGAGAGAAGATCGCGCGAGGGCGTAACTATGCTGTAGCTGAAGAGTTGGAGCTAGCGCGAGCATGCGTACAGGTGTCTACCGACGCATTAGTCGGAATTAACCAGACCGCCAAGGACTTTTGGTGTCGAGTAAAGATATTATGAAGAGTTCGGAGCTCATATCGGTTGCTCTAGTCAGGAAAGATGCCAAGTCGTACGTGGTCAAGCCTCCAGGCGCATTTTGGTCAAATTCAAAAGTCAATTGCAAAGTATGCTGGCTGTTCGACTCACATTGAGTCTCTGAGAACGTCTGGATCAACTGAGAGGGTTATGATGAAACAGGCGTTGGCGTTGTATAAAGAGCGCTACAACCAGCATTTTGCTTATGTAGAGTGCTACGACTTGCTGTCCAGGTGCCCAAAGTTTGCGAAGGAGCTTGATAGAGATTCAGGTCGCGGGCAATCTTTATGCTCTGGGAAGCGTTCTGTGTCTGACGAGGAAACTGAGACTACAAACATTGGGCAAACACTGTCCGGTCCTCCTACCAGCGATAACACAGACAACGAGCGTCCCAACGTCGGGGTTAAAGCTGCAAAACGAGCTAAAGTAGAGAGGTTGATTCCACTTCGAGCAGTAAAAGCCCAGGAAACACTAGCACCGTCGATGACCCTAAAGGTGAAAGTACTAAAGGATCCGCTTCACATCAATCAAGCCCAACAGCGCCTCCAAGAAGAGCAAGTGCTACACACAATGCTCAACGAGCTTTTTAGTACTGTGCCAGCAAGTCGTGAGCACGCTACGTACCTAGAAAACCGTCGTGCCAACTTGCTGCGTCGCCTTGATACTGTGAGCACGATCTCACCTCAAAGGCCTCCATTAGACTCCGCCACCGCCGCCTCGCATGATTTAGCTGCTCTGCTATCTTCGGATGCAAGCTCAACACCATCCTCACCAGAAAACGCGGATGCTACAGCTCAAGATCGACTATTTCCGAGAGATGAGTCTTCGACACCACCAAGCACATCATCGACCGGTGACAATTCATCTCTTGCAACTTTCGCTTCACAGGACTACAACCTACCATCGTCATCGGACATTTCATCCACGCTATCGTCTTCGTTCACGACGGCAAGTTTTCCACCACTAACTCAATTATCTGATACTCCAGCTTCGTCGATCGAGTTCACTGACTAGGATGTTTTTCACGTGACTACTTTGTTTTTTTAACAGAAAGCTAGCAAATTCATTCAAGAATTAACGTTAATAAAAAAGTCTTGTCAGCTCACGATCTTTATTCTATTTTAATCGTCTGCTTCACCAAAACACTTCCATACATGTTCAACTAAGTCGACCTGCAGCTGAGCGTGACGTGAAGCGTTCTTGATCGTATTAATGCGTGCTGTGAGCTCACCGAGCGATCTAGGTCGATATCCAACTGGTCGTGAAACGCGAAGCTTGTACAGAGGATTTTATTGCTCGTCGTCAAACAAATATCCGTGCTCATCGACTGAAGAGAAACGATTCTCTTCACATATCATGTTGTGCAGGATAATGCAGGCTCGCATAACGTTATTCATGTTCAGCCGTGAATGTAGTTTGCACGGTAAGGCTAAAATCCCCCATCGGGCCTGCAGGACGCCAAATGCGCGTTCGACATCTTTTCTGAGCGCTTCCTGTGTTTTTGCATAGCACTTTTGCTTGTTACCACGTGGTTCTGGTAATGTGTTAACAAATGCAGCCCAGTCAGGATATATTCCATCTGCTAGGCAATACGCCATGTCATACGAATGTCCATTAACTTCGAAATTCACTTGAGGTGCGTTTCCTTTCATTAATTCATCGAGCACGGGAGATCTATCGAGAATATTAAGATCGTTTAGCGCTCCAGGCCAGCCAAAGCTAGCGTGCCAAATCCAAAGCTCTTCATCTGCGCACGCCTCCAGAACAACCGTAGTTTTTTTTTCTCCTTGCCTTTAAACTGCCCAGCCCAACCGGTCGGGCAGTTTTGCCACTCCAAGTGCATGCAGTCGATGCTGCACCACATTCCGACAAATCCACGCCGCGCATTTAATTCGAGTAGCCGCTTCATATCTGATTCCGTAGGAGATCGTAGATACTCGTCACCAAACTGCTTGTCCACGGCATCCACAAAATGACATACGTTACTGTAGATAACCGTCTTGGACATCTCCAGATTCTCGTCTATAGAATCAGCGGACATTGCGTAAGCTAGAACCCTTAAAGCAGATGTCACCTTCATAAGAGGGTGAATGCCCATTTTCTTTGCTGCATTCGGTCGCTGCTCAAAATACGCGGAATCTACATCAAGTACACCGTTCAAAACGCGATAAAACATAGTCTTGCTCATGCGATTTCGAATTCTAAAGTCATAATCATCATATACTGGAATCGGCGCAAAATACTGCTCTACAAAGCGCTGGTAACGCGTCTGAAAGTCTCGTTTCTTGTGGCACGTTTGCCGGGGCGTGACCCTCCGCGTCGCTGGGCGACAGCATGAGGATCAGGATATAGGAGCTGCTGAATGACAAGATCCTCCTCCTCGTCTTCGTCTTCAATGTCGAGATAAGCCTGGGGGCATCTCGACGCTGCGCTAAACGGATTCACCGACATGGGCTTCTTTTTGTGAGATCTGGGGTGGATTGTCTTCGTTTTGTCCGAGCTGGTGTGGAGTCACAGGTCGATCAAATTTGAGTATGAACATTATTGACCAATTATAGCTTTTGTATTGTCGCAACTGGTGAAAATGCTCTGAGTGTCGCAATAAAACATAATCGACGATTAGAGGGCACAACATAAAAGGGACCAGCCGCGCTTCGCTTGGTTGGGCGCCCCTTCGGCGCCCTCGCGGTTCGCTGCGCTCGCAATATGGAGATAGAATGTACTGGAAAGTGTAGTGCTCGGCTCGCTGGTGAGCTCAGCGCTGGGCCCGCCTCGCACCCGCTCACCTTAGTTGACGCTGCGGCTATGGCACCCATGTCGCCCAGCCCCGTGTGTGTTATCCCAGCGATGGGCGTGTTTTTCTCCTATGCTCTCGAAATTCACCAATTCTTGTTTAGGTTGTATAATCCGGATACGCATACAGTGCTAGCGGTTAGTATACTGCCATCCTTGTTATTTTTTTACGGATTTTATCCCATAGGAGGTTTTGTTGCACGCAGTTGGGACCAATGAAAAGCGCGCAGTAAGCCGAAGCGGACGCCACTCGGTTTAGATTAATCGGCCATGTAGTCTTGCTGCAATCGTGAAAAAGGTGAAGTTGAAGTTGGCCTCGTTGGCATATACTGCCAATTCGACTAAAGCGAGATCTACAGCTAGTTAGACGCCAGTATTTCGCTCAGTACTCCGTCCTAGCTCCGTGACGCTCTAGCGTAGCGATGGAGCGCCTTGGCATCGACTAAATCAGCTTTTTAATGAGGTCGTTTCCGATCGTCGCCCAAGATGCCTGAATTGTTTCAATGAGGTCTTCTCTCGTCTGAAATTGCCGTCTTTGAGCGTAGACGGCACGCGCGAGTACTCCTCACATGTTTTTGATGGGATTTAGGTCCGGTGACCTGGCTGGCCAGTCCATCACATCGACTTTTTCCTCCTTCAAAAACGCCTTCGTGGTGGCCGAGGAGTGAATGGACGCATTGTCCTGCTGAAAAACGCAGTCCCGACCGTTCACTCGGTCGATGAAAGGTAGCAAATGCTCAGAGAGCGTGTAAATGTACCACTGGCTGTCTTGATTGCCATCCAAAATCACCAGCTCAGACTTACCACTAGCACAAAATGCAGCCCAGACCATAACGCTCCTACCATCACTTTGGCGAGTAGAGTAGACTTCAGGTTCGCGGCGCAAATCGTGCCAGTAGTACTGCATACAATCCGGTCCATCGAGATTGAACTTCTTTTCATCTGAAAAGACGCAGGTTCCCCATTTTTCTTCACTCCACGTCACCTTGTCGCGAGCCCACTTAAGACGAGCCTCCTTGTGCTATTCTTGGGTGAGCTTGGATCCTTTAGGCATGCTGGTAGTACCTATCCATGCACACACACATATGTTAGTACACTTGTAGGATGCTGGACATCATTATATTAAAAGAACACGCCAAAACAACGCGTCCTTGGCTGTAAAATAAGCACCGGCAGTATACTAACCGCCAGCCTCCTCAAGCAAGGGAGGCGTTTTTTCTGTGGTGGGGGGAGGAAATGGCCGATTGATCCTGAATCGAGTGGCGTCCGCTTTGGTTTAATGTGCGCTTTTTGTTGGTCTGTTATTAGAGCGAAGTCATCTCAAAAGCGAAGTCATCCTCAAGGCCGAGGCTAGCCTCAAGAACGAAATCAGCCTTTTTGTGGTGTTTCCAACGCAATGTGTTCGACAGCAACTGTATAATTCAAGTTAATCAAAGTATATCGCTTCATATGCACATCTGCAAGTAGCGATAACGCTGGTACTGCAGTGCCTTCTTACGTAATTCACCTGTGCTTTGTCCACTACAGAACGTTTCGAATGCAAGCAGAACGTACACTCCAAAGTAGCTGTCTAGCTGAGCTCCAGCATCCGCAACATAGGGATCACTCTGTAACTTTAAGTAGCTGGCCTGTTGTAACGGGGTACGTAGTCCCAAGAGTACCCCTACTTACATGAAGTGTGACACGTCACACTTCATGATATCTGGTACATGTCACTAGTGACATATAGTATGTAAATTTAACTCAAGCTTAGCCTACCTATAAATATTTGCAGCTTACGACTTACCTTAAATTGGTCACCTCGCTCCCTTAAGCAAAAAGGAGCCTGTGAACTACTGTTCACTGAGAGTTTGTATGCTCTCTGAAGCCAACTTCCTCTAGCGCAAGGTGCTGTGTGACCCCGTCACATTTGGTAGCACTTGTAGTCAATCCACGCCAACGCGGTAGACTACCTGAACCTCTCTGAAGCTCGTCGTCATGGATAGGAACGACTTCTTCCATCTGAACGACTCACAGCTCGAGTCGTCTCGGAAGATGGCTATCATCTTCGAGATGAAGGATATGCAGAGCCTGGTGGCGTCAACACCGGCTGAGCAGCTCGATCGTGTCAGTGCGCTTGACGCTTACGAGCGAGGGCTCATCGCACATGTGCCAGAAACCCTGCAAGCTCCGGCGGCGGAAACAAGTCCACCACACCCGAAGCCAATACGGCTGACGGTGAAGCTAAATGAAGGGAAGGAAAGTGAGAACCTTCACTTCTGGGTTCGAGAGGTAGAGGTCGCGATGGACGCGGATCTGATCTCGACCGAGCAACTTCGCGTTGCTTTTGCCATCTCCCATCTTAGCGGCCGAGCTAAGAGCTGGGTGTACACGCGGGAGGCGACATCGCCTGGATGTTTCACATCATGGGCTCAGCTGTGCGAACAGCTCCGAGCCGCGTTTCTCCCGGTGAGTTACGAGTACCGGCAGCGTCCGTTCTTCCTCTCATGCAAGCAAGGAAGGCGCGAGCTGCACGAGTACGTCCAAGCGATACGGAAGCTCACGGCGTACCTAATGGCCAGCCCACTTAACGAACACATCAAGGTGACTGTGTTCATGAACGACCTTCGAGTGGGCCCGGCGCGCGCTCAGCTGTTCCGGGCGCAGTCGAGCACCCTCGAAGAGGCGATTCAAGTGGCTCTTCAGGAAGAATACAGTTATCTTCAGGCGCGCACACCGATCTCAGCGTGGCCAGGGAGTTCTGTGTCGAATCCCGGTCGAGCAAACCCCGTTCGCATGGGACTTGGGTCCACCGAGCAGTGCGACATTTGCTGCTTTGGCTTCGGGAAGCTAGTACACTTCAGTCCTGTGGAGGAGAGAAACCGCAGGCGGACTTTCCCTAAGCCTGTCCTCAAGGGTCGCTGGCAGAAGCCAGGACCCCGGGGAGAGGGGAACGCCGGAAACCGGTAACGAAGTTCCCCGTCACGGCCGGTAAAAGAGTGTTATCACATCTTCGATGGCGAGACCGGTTTGCCCGTCAAGGCATCTGGTTTTCATATGAAACCGTTCCAAGAGATTGCAGAGATACAGAACCTCGAGGAAATGACGGCCGAGGCTTTCCTGGCCAGCCTCGAGGCTGGGGAGATTGCCGAGATGGTGCTCATAAGACCAGAGGCCACTTGGGAGGCCCTTAACTCCTCCTCTGTCCTGGACGAGGACGTCCTAGGCGAGCTGAGCAAGCAGCGTCAGACGGGTTCTAATATCCTTAGAGCTCCAAGGATCCGGTGTATCCTTTGGTGACGAAGTATGCGGACATGGTGAACAAACATCCACCGACCCAGCTCCCTCCGGATCGAGGCGTACGGCATGACATTGATCTCGTGCCTGGCACAAAGTACTGTGTCCCGAGACAATGGCCTCTTCACACGAACGGCGCGATGTCATCGATGCCTTTTTCGCTGCGAAAACGAAGGCAGGCATGGTGCGGGAGTCAAAGTCTCCGCACTCGACGCCAACGTTCTGCGTTCGGAAGTCGAACGGGAAGTGACGTCTAGTTTACGCTTATAACAACCTGAGAAACGCGACGATGCCGGCCTAGACACCAATTCCAATTCCACGAAAGGATGTGTTGTTTAACAACATGGCCGGAAGCGTACTGTACTGTGCGCTGGATTTGGTAGACGGATACTACCAGATCCTGATGCGCGAGAGCGATATCCCGCTCACCGCGGTGAGAGCTCCAATCGGCATGCTTTGAAAATGGCTCGTCACGCCGCAGGGCTTGTCTAATACCCCGGCGACATTCAACCGCCTGGTGACGCAGCTGTTCAGGCCAATGCGCGCCTTCGTACAAACGTATTTCGACGACATCTTCGTCCATAGCCGTACCGAGGGAGGCAAGACGACCATGGAGCTGCATTTGGGACACATCTGTCGAGTGCTGGACGTGATGCGAGCGAACAAGCCCTAGACCAACATGTCACCCGAGATCAAGGCTATCGGTTACTTCGTCAGCAACGTGGGCGTTCGGGCTGACCCAGATAAGGTCCAGGCCATTGCAGCATGGCCAACGCCCCGATCCCAGAAGGATCTTCGAACGTGGTTGAGTTTGGCCAACAGCCTTCATAAGTACAGCGCAGGGTACACTGGCCTCGCTAAGCCCGGGTCGGGCCTCCTTCAGAAGGACGCCGACTGGCGCTAGGAGCAAGAGCACCATAATGCCTTTGACAGCATCAAGGCCAGCCTCCAAGAGGCTACTGCCCTGGTCCTGCCGGACGAGACGAGGCCGTTCAGCGTCGTCTGCGATGCCTCTGATAATGCCATCGGTTGTGCATTGCTGCAGGCCAACACGGCTGGTCTCGAACGAGTCATCTCGTTCCAGTCCAAACAGCTCAAAGCCGCCGAGCGAAACTACCCTGTCCACGACAAGGGGCTCCTGGCAATGAAGTATGCCCTTGTGAAGTTTCGGGTTCACCTTCCGGGCTCCCGGCCCTTCGTGATCTACACAGACCACGCCCTTGAGGACGGCGACAAATTCGCCTCACCTCGCCCAAAGGATGGCGAGGTGGCTGTTCTTCTTCGCGGAGTACAGCTTCCGCGTCGGGTACAGCCGGGCAAGCTCAGCGTGCTTGTGGACGCCCTCTCTCGGCGTCCAGACTACGAGTTGGCCCACAACACACGGGTGACAACGGATCTATATGATCGGATACGCATGGCGTATCGGGACGATGAGGCTGTCGCGCCTAGCGTCAAGTTCCTCACGGCAGGAACGAGCGCGAAGTCCGACTGGCTTTTGTCGCGACAGCGCTCCCGTCTCCACCAATATGAGTTGAAGGATGGCCTCCTCTATTACTGGGTGGAGCCCAATGAACCTCCACGGGTGGTCGTACCCAACGACGAGAATCTGAAGTTTGGTATTATCGCGGGTGCGCACGGTGCGCCCTCCAGCGGCCACTTGGGTCGCGAGAAGACCTTCCTGTCGGTCTCTCAGGCCTTTTGGTGGACCCGCATGTACAAGTGGGTCACCCGAAGATATGCGAAACAT